TAAATTATGCATTATTGGAATAAGGTGGAACCATGAAATTGCTGAAATGATTGTACTATTCCATTCCATGAATGGCCATAGTCCCAGAAAACTGTAAATGACTCTTAGTGTCTTTTAAAATAGTTTATGGAAAGAAATGGTAGAGTTTCCTTTTCTTATGTGGAAAATAGTAGCCAGTGTTATAGATGGTTATGATCCCTTACTTTTAAAATTAGTCTCATTCTCTCTATAAGTAAATTATGCAATGGCAAGGAAGCCTTACCATTTTATACTGCTTTACATTTTTCAAAAAAAAGCTTTATGTAACATTATTCTAAAAATTTCAAAGATAGATTGTTCTTTTAACAGCGTCACTAGAATAGAATAAATATAATCTCTCTTTAACATTGAGAAACGTGAAGCTTGGAGAAATTATTTCACTTAGGGTCTTGATCCAGTTTGTATCAATTTTTCTGCTTCAAATCAAATGCAATGTGTTTAAAGAACATAGAACATTTATATTACCTTGGTCTGAGAAACAGGGACTAATCAGAGAAAGATACTAATAAATGGTTACTTTTATAATTATTTTAAAAAGTGAACAGTTAGAGGATACTACCTCTAATAAAGGTTCACTTGAAAATTTATATATACCATTCTTTAAAAATATATATATATATTTAAATATATATATATTTCAGAAAGAGGAAGGGAAAGGGAGAGAAAGAGAAAAACATCAATGATGAGAGAGAGAATCATGGATCGACTGCCTCCTGCATGCCCTCCATTGGGGATTAAGCCTGCAACCCGGACATGTGCCCTGACGAGGAATCGAACCGAGACCTCCTTGTTCCTAGATGGATGCTCATCCACTGAGCCACATCAGCCGGGCTATAGCATTCTTATTTTACTATAATATAATTCAGTAGTGATGTATTTCAAAAGGTCATTTACAAGAGCACTCCTGATTTTTTATTGATTGCCACCCTTTTATTGTTACTTTTTATGTTTTTAGAAATTTATTTTAACATTTTTTGTGAAAGAAATATTAATATATGACCATTATGATATTTTATTTCTTTTATATAATACACTTTTAAATCATATAATTGATTCTTCCAGTGTGTGAGTTGTAGTGGTCTAGTAAATAGAGTTGATGTGAATGGAGATTTTAAAATTTATTTGTGGCTCCCAGTTTTATCTATATATATCTGTCTATATATATATAGATCAGAAGTCGGTAATAAGGTCTTTGCCACAATTACTCAGTTCTGCTGTTAGAGTGGGAAAGCAGCTGTAGGTAACACAGTAGTCCCCCTTGTCCAGTTTCTTCTTCTGAAATTTCAGTTACCTATGGTTAACCACAGCCCGGAAATATTAAATGGAAAATTCTGGAAATAAATAATTCATAAGTTTTAAGTTATGTGCCACTGTGAGCAGCATGATGAGAATCTCATGTCGTCCACTCCAAGCTGTCCGGGATGTGCATCATCCCTTAGTCCAGCTTATCCGTGCTGTACATCCGGTGCCATAAATTATTTTCAGGAGAGAGACCACATTATTATTATTATTATTGTTAATCTCCTACCATACCAAATGTATGCATGAAACTTTATCACAGGTAGGTATGTATAGGAAATAACATTGTATATACGGGGTTCAGGACTGTCTGCAGTGTCAGGCACCCACTGAGGGCCTTGGGATGTATTTCCTGTGGATAAGAGAGCGCCACTGTACATCCACGAATGGGCAGAACTGTGCGCTGATAAAACGCCACTCCAGAGCCACAGCGGCAGCAGCCATGGTTTGCCTGCAAGCTCCAGTTTGCTGACCCCTGCATTTGAATATAAAGTGAACTAGAGCTCCTCACCATAATGTTTCTCTCTTATTTGTCAGATGTTTTGGTTCCTTTTCTTACTCTTTCTAACCTAATGCTATCATTCCTACTTCTGTCCTGTTTAATTTAACCTTTTATTACATTTATTCACACTTGTGTGTACTACTGTGCTTTTTGTACCACCAGCTACTTTTCCAGGCTCTTTAACATCCTTACACAACTTTCCAGCCTGTTTTCAAGACTCCCCCTGCCAAATAAATAAATACATAAATATATATACCTATGTATACATAAATTATATGTATAATTATCCTAACAATCATTGAGTTTCAGGGGTGAGTGTGGTTAGGGAAATGGGAGTGCTGAATGTAAAGGAAGACGACACTCCCATGGGTTTGGGTGGTCTTGGGTGGTCTGGCAAGACTTATGAAAGGATACGGGACTTGCGCTGACTCTTGAAAGACTGGAGTGAAATTAAATATTAGGAAAAAAAAGAAAAGAAAAGCATTTCAATAAATTACTGACAAGGAAACGCTCATATATGGTCTCCCTCCACATTTCATCACCAATTAGATGGCATTCCACCATGGACTGTTCCTTTTCAAGATCATTACCTTGAGCAAAGTGTTGATGGTGTGACTTGTTTTTCTCTGGAGATTCCATCTCTTTGGATGATCACTTTCCCTTCCATGTGCTTACTGAAATAAATAAATAAAAAGACGATGCATACAGACCTGGGGCCACGACCAGCTCTGCTCTAGCATCCTGTCACATGGACTTCTCTCCGGCTGGCCGGCCTGTGTTTTCATCATGCCCCAGTCTTTTCTGGCCACCAGCTTGGTAGGCAGGTCTGACCCCGGAGAGGGACTAGAGAGCCATGCAACTTTCCGGGATCTATAACTGTGTAAGTGAAAGGAGTCCTCCAGGGCACCTGTGTTAGCTCACTAGGGATGTAACTTGGGGTTTGGAATTATGGTAACTAAAGATAAAGACTATAAATAAGCATTTATTTCCCTTCTGCACCCCTATTTTCCTGTGGACCTCGGAGGAGAAAGACAGCTGGGGGTCCTGTCATTCCTCAGTCTCTTTACCTTTGATCTGAGTAGATCGCACAGGATAGTTCCAGCAGGCCAAGCGAGGATGCGGACAGGGGGCTCTGTCTGCAGCACAGCCCTGTGTGGAGAGGCCGGAAGTGTGCCTTCCTTCCGCAGGTGCAGCTGCGGGCCCAGCAGGGGACAGTCCGGATTCCGAAGTAGGATCTAGAGCTTCCAGGATAATGTGAAGAGCCAGGTAGTCTGCCTAATTGCCTCAGGTTACATAAGCACCAGAACGACAAGGCTTTTGCATCTTAATTGCAGTGTCTGCTGTTTGGTGCTGGGGCTCATTTCTAAAGGCAGAGTAAGAGCACGTTAAAACGAGCAGAGCCCCAGGACACTGCCTCCTGGCTTCTGGGTGATTGGATTGTGTAATCCCTCCTTTTTTCTTCAGGTGACAGTGGGCACATCTCTAAAGCCTTAAATAATAGTTACGAAGAGTGGGACCGCAGGGTAGGATGGGGGATGTCAGGGAAGAAAGAGGGATGGGAGTGCTACCATAAAGGGAACATATAGTCATTTGGGATGAAGGTTGGGGCTGCCTCAGTGGCGTCATTCAGACCCAGGACTGAAATGGAAGTAAAGGCCTGGACCCAGAACGCTCGGCTGCAGGAAACCGCCTTGTGTGGGGGCCGAGGGGAAGTGAGGCGATGAGTCAAACTTTATATGTGAGCAGCAAAGCGCTAATTAGAACATGTAAGGAGATCCCCGGGGAGAGAAGAGGATCTGGCTTTAAAAACCTCAGGGAATTAGAAAAGGAAATTTCTAAGTTTCAAATGGATTGAATACTAAACAGGCAGAAGAGGCCTTGGGGAAGGCTTAGGGCCCAGAGCCCCCACTCATGCGAAGCTGCTCTCTAGGCCACCAGTGGAGGCAGAGGTTTTCTTTCCTTCCTCCCTCCCTCCCTCCCTCCTCCTCCCTCCTCCCTCCTCCTCCCTCCCTCTTTCCTCCTCCCCTCCTCCCTCCCTCCTCCCTCCTCCTCCCTCCCCTCCCTCCCTCCCCTCCCTCTCTCCCTCCTCCTCCCTCCCTCCCTCCCTCCCTCCCTCCCTCCCTCCCTCCCTCCTTCCTTCCTTCCTCCCTCCCTCCCTCCCTCCCTCCCTCCCTCCTCCCTCCCTCCTTCCTCCCTCCCCTCCCTCCCTCCCTCCCTCCCTCCCTCCCTCCCTCCCTCCCTTCCTCCTTCCTTCTTTCCCTCCTTCCGTTTCCCCTCCTCCTTCCCTTTTCCTTTCCTCCCTCCTTCCTTTCATCCTCCCTCCCTCTCCCTCCCTCCATCCCTCCCTCCCTTCCGTCCTTTCCTCCCTCCCTCCCTAACTCCCTCCCTCCCTCCCTTCCTCCCCTTCCTTCCTTCCTCCCCTCCCTCCCTCCCTCCCTCCCTCCCTCCCTTCCTTCCCTCCTTCCTTCCTTCCCTCCTTCCATTCTTCCTTCCCTCCTTCCTTCCTTCCTTCCTCCCTCCCTCCCTCTCTCCCTTCCTTCCTTCTTTCCTTTCTTCCTTTTCTTTCTTTCCCCTCTCATTCAATTTTATTCTCCCCCCCCCCATTTTTAAATTAAGGTATTACATGTGTACGTATCTTCCCATTGCCCCTCGCCACCCCACTCCATACCTGCCCTCACCCCCCAGTGTTTTGCGTCCATTGGTTCTGCTTATATGCATGCAGACCAGAGATTTTCTATGAGGGTTTCTCCTGATCCCACCACCGCCCCCGGGAAGCTAGCCTGGGCTGTAGGAAACCTCCCTTCTCACAGACCAGGTGGCCTCCTTTGTCTCTCTCCTCCTCGCTGTTTCATTTGTAGTGAAACAGTCTTCGTTTTGAGCGTTTTCAACTCCTAATTAAAAAGTCTTCCGATGCATATCTTAAGATTGTTCTAAGAAAACAGTTGGCTAAGGAAACCGATCTGTGAGTTCAAAAACGGTGCATGACGTTTCGGCATGTAATATATCTATCGGTCAGTATCCAGTGCATAGAAAATTGTCAATCCAAATGAAAGAATCAACTTCAGGTGAGAGAAAGAAATCAATAAAACGGAGGTAAGCAAAAAATAAACAAAGTGTACGTCCCCTGAAATTTTCTCCTTTCTTCTCTCACACCGTGCAGGTGATATACGCCCTGAACACGAAGAACGATGAGCACGAGTGTGCGATTCAGGCCCTCAAAGATGCTCACGAAGAGGAAGTCCAGCAGATTCTCGCCGAAACCAGAGAAAAGATCCTGCAGTATAAGAGCAAGGTGACGGAGGAGTCGGACCTGAAGAGAAGGATCCAGGCGCTGGAAGCGTCCCTGGCGGAGCACGCGAAGGTGAAGCAGCAGGCGTTGGCCGAGTTCGAGGCCTACAAGCACCGCGTGGAGGACACGCAGCTCTGCGCGGAGGCCCAGCACGTCCAGCGCATCGTCACCATGGCCAGGGAGGTGGAGGAGATCCGGAGGAAGTTTGAGGAAAGGTTGCGGAGCTTTGGGCAGCTCCAGGTACAGTTTGAAAAGGACAAAAGGTTGGCGCTGGAAGACTTGCGGACCGCTCACCGGCGGGAGATCCAGGAGCTGCTGCAGTCCCAGCAGGAGGCCAGCGCCCCGGGGCCCAACGGGCAGGAGAAGGAGGGGGACCCGCTGCGAGTGGAGGTGGAGACCCTCAACAGAACCCTGGCAGAGCTGAAACTGGAACGGCAAAGGCTCATTGAGGATTACGAAGCCAAGTTGAATAAGGCTCAGTCCTTCTATGAGCATGAGCTGGACACCTTGAAGAGGTCACAGCTGTTCACCGCAGAAAGCCTGAAGGCTAGCAAAGAAAAGGAAGCCGACCTCAGGAAAGAATTTCAGGCACAAGAAGCAGTTTTACGGAAAACCATAGGGAAACTGAAGATGGAGTTACAGATGGTTCAGGATGAAGCTGGGAGTCTCCGGGACAAATGCCAAAAGCTTCAGGCAGCCCTTGTCACCGCGGAGAACAGTGTTCAGGTGAGTGAACAATATTATTTCCAACACAGGGATTCCCCCCCCGCTCCCACCCCCCAGTTTCCTTTAACTTATCTCCCCCTCGCCCCCCCCCCATTTTGCATTTTTCTGTTCCTTTTTGGGAAAAACCAATAGAGGGGTCATCTTTGCTACTCTGTAGTTATTACCATTTCCTACTAGGGCTGCAGGCCCCAAAAAACCTGAAAAGATATTAAAGGCCCAAACAATAATTTTAAATCTTGCTCAGTGTTTTCTACAAAAGAGTTTTATTTAAATAACATGTTAATATTTTCCATAAGCGCTTTGGGACTGTTAAAAATATTGGGCTTTGAGATTACTTGTGAGTTTTTTTTTCCCTTCATTAAAAATGGTTATAAGTGTCTGTCACCCACCAAACAATTTAAAACTTGGTACTGCTACATGTGATTTTTGAATTAGAAGTTGTTGATGCTGCCTGGCCAGTGTGGCTCAGTGGTTGAGCCTCAACCAGGAACCAGGAGGTCAGGGCACATGCCTGGGCTGCAGGCTCTCTCCCCAATAAAGGGCATTTGGGAGTAACCGATCGATGATTTCTCTCTCATCACTGGTGCTTGCCTCTCTCTCTCCCTCTCCCTTCCTCTCTCTGAAATCAATAATATATATATATATATATATATATATATATATATATATATATATATATAATTTTTTTTAAGTTGTTGATGCTTATAATTTAATTATTTAGCTTAGCGTCATTCTGGCATATTAGTAACGGCTACTTGATCTTTCTTAGGGTCTTCAGAAACAGCTTGACGATGCCAAGCAGGGAGAGATGGCTTTGTTAAGCAAGCACAAGGAAGTGGAAAGTGAGCTGGCAGCAGCCAGAGAGCGTTTGCAACAGCAAGCTTCCGACCTTGTCCTCAAAGCCAGTATGTCTGACCCTCGTCCTTGGTGATTCCTCAGAAAAAAAACAATGCTTAAATGTTCATTCAAGACAAAATTCTTATAATGTTTTAAAATTATTTAGAGTCTATGTTAACGGACTCTGATATCTTATTCGTCAGTCATAAATAAGCAACTGATAACTTAGTTTTAGAAATGGGTATTTTTATAGAAAAATTAATAAAAAGAGTTAGCAATTGTTAAGGCACCAGGAAACCAGACACTAAAATAAAAAATGCAGTCCAGGTCCTGGCCGGTGTGGTTCAGTGGGTTGAGTACATCCCATGCCCCAAAGAGTCACCAGTTAAATATCCAGTCAGGAGGCAACCTACTGATGTTTCTCTCTCTCTCTCCCTCTCCCTTTCCCTCTTTCCCTCTCCCTTCCTCTTTCTCTAAAACCAATTACAAAACATTTTTTTAAAAATGCACTCATAAGAGGATGTGTCTATTAAAAACATGTTTGGTAAAGTATGTAAAATGTGTAAATTACAGCACCACTGTTTTTACTTATTAATAAGGACCACTTTATGTACTGAAGCTGCCTTGCCCCTCCTGGCGTGGCTGCAGTGCTGATTTCCTAGTCCTTGTCAGAGGATGAGGCGGCCCACGTCTGTTCTGAAGTTACATTTAGCCTGAGTGTTCAGTGGGCCAGGTGAAACCATTGGGACTAGTTCTTTGCAGATGTCTCCTGATTGGATGGTTCATCAGTGAGTCCCAGATTACCCTTTCCCTAAAGGAACAGTTTTTTTCCCTAAAGTAGCATGCATAGAAATCACTGGGAGGGCATGTACAACCGCAGACACTGGGCCCTAGCCCCAGAGTCTCCAGTGCAGTAGGGCTGGGGGAGCATCATTTTGAACTGGAGTGAGTTCCAAGTGCTGCTGGTGCAGGGCGCCTTGAGAACTGCCCCAACACATGCTTTTCCATGCCTTTTTTTTTTTTTTTTAATCTCACACTCACTTTATAAAATTTTTTATTAAAGTTATTGGGGTGACATTTGTGAATAACATTACATAAGTTCCAACTGTTTAGTTCTATAAAGCATCATCTCTGTACTGCTTTGTGTGTTCACAGCCCAAAGTCCAATCTGCCTTTGCTGCAGACTAGACTTTACATACATTTTCCTATGTAAAAATACGTAGGAAAATTTTAACCTCTTCATTCTCCTCCCACCCCCTTCCCCGCTGGTAACCACCATCGTGTTGTCTGTGAGTGTGTAAATTCAATGCCTTTCTAATCACACTCACTTTTCATCTCTCCCTATTCCCCCTCCTTTTTCCTTTACTGTTGTCATTTATTTTACTTTTTCATAACATTGCTGACTTTATCTGTCTTCTACTCCACCTTAGTTCTTTATCTTGTCTAAAACAAATTCGCTTTCAATCAAACTGCTGTCTGCCGTCTTCACTCCCTGCATACAGATTTCTTCTTCTTCATGCTAGAATTTGGAAAAAAGAAGATATTAGAAAAAACAGATTACCCATTCTGGTACTATAATCTTGGCACATCCTCCTTTACTTTGTTTTACTCCTAATACTTTTATTCCCATCCCCAAGGAGTTGCTTCTGCTTCAATTTGTATGGTTTGAAATCTTAAAAAAGCAAGTGGTATAGTCCCGGTGCAGGGAGCAATATCAGTGCACTTCTTTCTAATTTAATTTTTTTTTTCTACTTGGGTATGAAGTATTCCCATGGCAGATATTTCAGTTTTATATAGTGAAGAAATAAAAGAGCTATGTGTACATGCAGACCATTGACTTCACTAAGGTATCAAACGCAATTGTGTCCATAAATATAGACTGCTTTATACCACGGTATAACGGATTTTAAATCGGAGGGTTTTTCTTTTGGGGAGTAGGTCATATTGGAATGCTTCAAGCAACTCAAATGAACCAGGAGATCACAATTAAAGATCTAGAATCAGAAAAATCAAGGACCAGTGAGAGATTATCCCAGCTTGAAGAAGAAAAACATTTTTTGCAAAGCAAAACCCTGAGTCTGGATGAAGAGCAGAAGCAGCAGATCCTGGAACTGGAGAAGGTAAAATGGAAGGAGGACGCCCTTCCCCAGGAGAGGAGAGGAGGAAAAGTTCAGTTTTCATCTTTTCGGTCTATTTCTTCACTCTAGTAGTTTTGTTCCAGGAAAGAAGGTGTAAATCTATACTATCCCATTTGTGTGTATATTCAGAATATTGTCAGTAATGATTTATAATGTAAAAACGTAAGACATTTAAACTGATTTCAAACCAAATAGACTCTTATTTGAGTGGAGTGTACATACGTGGTTAATTGTATTTGGTTTGCTATGGATGAAACGTATTATCACATAAATACCTAGGAAATTTCTATAAAACTGAAAAGGATACCAAACATCGAGCTCTGAACATTCGTATACTAGACTAAACATGTAAGACATCTCATTTGTAGAGTAATTCTGAATATGTATTCCAGTTTTCCAGATGTCTACAATACCAAGTGGGAGTCCTAGACACTCTTTTCCCTTCATCAACCATGCATATTGAAAAATGTCTGTCCTTGCCCCCCGCTCACCTCCCACTCACTCCCTGCCCGTGTGCTGTCTGGTTCCTCTCACCATCACTGCACAGAACCTGCACTGCCCGCGCCCTCCGGTGGCACCCTGGTAGCTGAACGTGGCAGACCGTGTCCTGCCCTGGCACTTACTCCTCCCTGGCGTACATTGCCTCTCTTTGGGTGTTTCACGCTCTTTCTGTGTTCTTCCCCCCTCCTGGCCTGGCAGGCTTGTTTGTGAGTGTCCCTTCTCTGTCTGTTCCCTTACCAGTGATGTCCCCTCGCATTTTCATCTCCTCCTACACGCTCATTCATTTCAGGAACGTCAGCGACAGCTCCCAACTCTGTTGGTCTAGGTGAGATCTTTTCCCTCAACCTGAATCCTGTGTATCTAACTCCCACTGTACCTCACAAACGTATCAAGTCACCACGCCTAGAGCTTCGTCCCCTCCACAGGACAAGTAGCACTACAGTCTCTCTAATTTGGTAAATCAGAGCCCTGGGAGTTATTTTGATTACTGTCTCCTGAACCCCTTATCTGTTGCTAAGGTCCATCGGTTCTGCTCCCTCAATGTATTTTTATCCCATCCTCTCCTCTACATACCCATTCAATGAAGCTAGATTTAGGCACCTGTCATTTGTTGTCTGGATTACGGTTACAACCTCCTACCCGCTCTACCCGCCTTGGGTCAGCTCAGCAGCCTACTGCCAAGATGATTGGTGTTTGTGTGTGCGTGTGTGTGTGTGTGTGGTTTTTTAAAAAATATATATATTATTGATTTTTTAAAGAGAGAAAAGGAGAGGGATAGTTAGAAACATCGATGAGAGAGAATCATCGATCAGCTGCCTCTTGCACACCCCCTACTGGGGATGTGCCTGCAACCAAGGCACATCCCCTTGACTGGAATTGAACCCAGGACCTTTCAGTCTTCAGGCCGACGCTCTATCCACTGAACCAAACCAGTTTCAGCCCAGCCTTATATATTATGTTCTGTCCACACCTAAACTTTGCCACCTGCTTAACTACCTCTCACCTTTCAAAATGCTATACATGGCTATAAATGCAGGCTTTTGACATCAGATCTAGGTGTGAAATTTTCTCATCTCTAGTTTCCTGATGGGCTTATAAGAATGTAAAGGAGAGAACATGTAATCATCATGAGCTCAAATGTTTCCTCTTCTGAAAAGCTTGCCCCGCTCTCTCTCCACCCCCCCCCCCCTCTCTCTCTCACACACACACACACACACACATTCAGGTTAGGCTCCTTTCCTGATTAATCTCACAACATGTGATGCACACTTCCGTCATAGAAATTATACAGTAGTTATATCACCACTATCTTTTGACTATTTGTCATTAGACTGTGAATGCATAAAAGCATATAATTGGCACTCAATAAAATTATATTGAATAATGTCATTTGAGTGGGTAAGTTGCTGTGCCATTTTACCAGTATGTTCAACTTAGACATATAGGAAGCCTTTCTCTCTTCCGTGTGCGGTTGTGCTAATTCACATTTGGTTCTAACCTTCTATTAGTCTTCCTTATCCTTTGCTTTAAAGTTATTTATTTTGCCTGTGCCACCCTGCCGTTTTCTCAGAACACCCTTTCCATAGTCTGAACCCAGTGGCTCTCAATTCATTCCAGTTCACCTGTTTACTGGGTATTCAGCGTACTGATAGCAGTGATGGAAAAAGCAGGTGCCAATGTATTGATGTTTATTTGTTTTAATTTTAGAAAGTAAATGAAGCAAATAAAACCCAGCAAGAGTATTATGAATTGGAGCTAAAAAACCTGCAAAATAGATTGGAAGGGGAGGTGGCTCAGTTAAATGAGACCCATTCTAAGACTTTGGAAGAACTGGCATGGAAGCACCACATGGCCATCGAGGCTGCCCACAGCAATGCAATCAGGGACAAGAACAAACTGCAAATGGTGAGTTAAAAATGCAATTTAGGATGGCATGTCAATCAGTGGCGTTCCTGGAATGACCCAATGGGACCTTGGCTGTGGAGTACTGATGGAGTTCATTTTGATGGCCACTGTTTGGTGATCACTCTGTAAATCTTGGCTCAAAGAATAATGTACATAAGAGCTCTTGATGTGGGATACGGATTATTAAGTTGCTATGAGGCATTTCTGTTTTTAAAAAAATATATTTTATTGACATTTTAACAGAGAGGAAGGGAGGGAGCTAGAGAGTTAGAAACATCAATGAGAGGGAAACATCGATCAGCTGCCTCCTGCACACCCCCTACCGGGGATGTGCCCACAACTGAGGTACATGCCCTTGACTGGAATTGAACCTGGGACCCTTCAGTCCGCAGACCGACGCTCTATCCACCGAGCCACACCGGTCAGGGCAGGCATTTCTATTTTGTGTAAGCCATAATAGAAGTACTCCCTGCATCTCGAGCTTTCTCTTCATGAGACAGCAACTTAGGGGTGCCGCTCAGGGAGGCTCAGCCGGGTGAAGTGCTCCCTCTCTGTGGCCCCCTTCCCCGGGAGAAGGACTTGTTTTGCTTCCACTCAATGAGGTACTCAGCTTGCTGATAGTAATGCGCTGACAGGCAGTGCTGCATAGTAGAAAGAGCAGGATGTCCCACACATCTGGGCCTTACACCGAGCCCTTTGCTTCCTAACTGCCTGAACTTGGGGCCTAAATGCTATGCCTCAGGCTCCTCGTCTGACAGAGATAAGACCCATCTTATAACGCTCCTGTGAGGGTGACCTGAGATAAAGTGTTATAACCCAGTCCGGCTGGCGTGGCTCAGTGGTTGAACATCAGCCTATGAACCTGGAGGCAACAGTTTGATTCCCGGTCAGGGCACATGCCTGGGTTGTGGGTTCGATCCCCAGTGTGGGGTATGTAGGAGGCAGCCAGTCAATGATTCTCTCTCATCATTGATGTTTCTGTCTTTTTCTCCCTCTCCCTTCCTCTCTGAAATCAAGAATATATATTAAAAAAAGAAAAAGTAAGTAAAAGAATCCAGGCATGTCCTGTCATAGAGTGATAAATAAATGTTGAATATTAATATTTCTCACGGTGTGCCAGACACTGCAGTGATGTCTTTCGTTTAATCCCGTTTTCATTTAATGCTTATAACACTGCTCTACCCATTTTACAGAAGAGGTGATGGGGGCATAGAGAGATTAAACACTTCCTCAAGCTCATGCAACTAGGAAGAAGGACTTTGAACTCAGGTCTCAGATATCAAACCCTGAGGCATTTAACACCACATCACGTGGGCATGTATTAGTGATGGTGCTTATATGCTTCATCTGATAGCACTTTACAGCTTATGAAGAGCTTTCTTATATATTCCTTGTTACTTTATCACAAGGACAGCTACTAAGGGACTAATGGGCGGGAGTGGATTTAGCATCAATACCCTGGATAAAGGGATGATTCTCACTGGGAGTAGGACTCGGTGGGAAATCATGAGATTTCATAACACTATTCAGAACAGTGCACAATTTAAAACTGAGTTGTTCTGCAATTTTCTATTTAATATCCCTGACTATGGTTGAACACAGGTAACAAAACGCAGAAACCAAAACCGCAGATAAGGGAGGACTACTGTATATTTTTCTTTGTAACTCTGATTTCCCCACCCACTTGAAAGTCAGCAAGTGCATAAGCACAGAATCCACGCAGAAAAGATTTAACTCGGGCCTGACGCTGCCATCCTTACAAAGGCATGTGCGACTGGCCCTGGCATGTATCTAGGAACTTGACTTTTTGGAGGATTCCCACCAATCCTGATAAGCCTGGCTCACTGTGCCTGAACTGTTTATGCAAACAACATGGTTTGTGCTGAACAGCTGCTTTCCTCCTCAGAGGCTGGGAATCTGGTGCATGCCAGTCAGGCTGTGCCTGCCTGCCTGCCTGAGCACTGAGTCCCCCGACCGTTCCCGGGGGTAACATTCCACACGTGTGCTCACAGCATGCCGAGAGGCCAGTGTGAGAGGGCTGTGGAAGCTCTGCTGGTTTCCTGCGCTCTGACCCACGTGCCTTTGCCCTTTGACGATCGTGTCCTCCGTGCTTTTACAGTCTTCGTAGCTGTGAGTGTGACTTCATGCTGAGTCCTGTGTGTCACCTCAGCCCATCATCCAACCTGCAGTCTCGACACAGAACCCCATTTTCTACTCTTCTCACCTTACTTCTGTAAAGTGTTAAACGACTTTTGTACCTCCGGGGTTTTTGCACTTGCTTTTTCTTCTGCCTAAGTGCAACTTTCCCCTCTTGTTTCAGCACCTTTTCTGACTGGTGCCCTCCTTCAGAATGCACTTAGAATCTGCTTTATGCAGGTTTCCTCACTAAGCCAGAGCTAGTTCCCCGTCCATGCACGCCAGTACTTCCCATAGGCATCAGATGTTAATCACATATTCCTTAATTGCCTGATACCATGACCTTATGAAAGGTAGGCACCATGACTCATTGCATTTGTATCCCAGGTATTAAATACATGCCTGGCAAATAGTAGGTGTTCTTCCATAAGTATCAGTTTTGCTGGTATTTTCTTCAGATGTCTTGACTCTATATTTGTTAACTTTTCACTGTGTCCCAGTTTAGCACTGAGTCCAGAGTGTTATAAGATTTTTTAATAATGTAAATATAAAATAATTCTGTATTCAAGAGACAGAATTTTTTCTTATCTCATCAATTTATCATTTATAAAACATACTTTTGTGTGTGTGTGTGTGTGTGTGTGTGTGTGAGTATGTTTACTACATCTTGATCTAGACCAAATATTCTTATCATTTAAAAAATTATTTAACTCTAGTCAGTTTGGCTTAGGGATAGAGCATCGACCTGCGGACTGAAGGGTCCCAGGATCGATTCCAGTCAAGGGCATGTGCCTTGGTTGTAGGCTCCTCTCCGGCCTGGCCCTGGTTGGGGCACATGCAGGAGGCAACCAATCAATGTGTTTCCTTCACATCATATTCCTGTCTTTCCCTCTCTCTTCCACTCTCTAAAAAAAAAAAAAAAGGGAAAAATATCCTCAGGTAAGGATTAAAAAAATTATTTAACTACTACATCATAAGTTATTCAAAATGACAAAATGTAAGCCCCCAGGATTAATTTGATTCACTATTAATTTTTATATTAATTATAGGTAAGGCTAATTTGGAGAATAAACTTTCAAAATATAAACTGAATAGTCTTTTTTTTGGAAATATTTGAAGTATACAATATTTGAAATTTTGTTCATTTTTTTAAACATTTTTATTTTCTTAAGGAATTGGAGGAACAATATAAAAAGGAGAAACTAAACCTAGAAGAGGATAAAAGTCAGCTTCAACAAGAGCTAGAAAACCTGAAGAAGGAACTGGAAGACAAGCTGGGAACAGCCAATCAAGAGGCAAGAATTCTATAGACCTGTCACCTGAGTTATGTTTTCATGACAAAATCTTGTGTGATAACCTTGTATAAAGTAGGTGAGCTTCAGCAAAAATAACATCTAGAGTAAAAATAATCAAAAAATGATGCTGAATTATTCATAATACATTGGTCACATCTCACCAGGTAAAAAATTGACTATAAAAAGCATGAGACCCAACATGCTTTGGGAGGGAAAAGCAAATCAAAGGAGAATACCATTGTAAAGGAAAGAAAACAAAGGAGGTTTTCCTACTGTTTTGTAAAACATTGACTTAGTATTCTCTACTCTGACTCCATTTAAAAAAGAGTTTTCAGTCCTAGCTGGTTTTGCACAGTGGTTAGAGCTTCTGCCTGTGGACCGAAGGGTTTGATTCTGGTCAAGGGCATGTACCTTGGTTGCAGGCTCCTCCCCAGCTAAGGCCCTGCTCAGGGCGTGTGCAGAAGGCAACTAATTGATTTGTTTCTCTCACATGGATATTTCTCTCTGTCTTTCCCTCTCTCTTCCACTCTCTCTAAAAACCTATGGGAGAATATCCTCTGATGAGGATTAAAAAAAATAAATTTAAAACATGAATAAAAAAGACTTTCCAAGTTCTAGATAGTGACATCTAAATGAATTTTAAAATTCTATACAAAACTAGAAAAGTCTAAGAATAGCATAGGATAAAAATGTTAAAACCAGGAAGTTGTGAATAAAATAAATGCAAACAAAATGTATAATCATAATATTGTGTATTGCATCCCTTTTTCTCTTTTGCCCTGGTTCAGCTGTGCCCTGCAACAGCCTTGTTACTGTCCTCCTTCCCTCTGTCCTAGTTTATCCTTCTTGTGGACTGATAATTTCTACTAGTTCTTGTCTTGTCAGCTGTCCTTACTTCACCAGAGTCTTCTTTACCAATGGTCTTTAAGTCCTGCTTTCTCATCACTCTGCTTCCACTCACAGAAACCACGTCAAAGTACACAGGCGCCCATGGGAAGGCCAATAACTTGCACTCAGTATTCTTTAATTACATGTAAGCACTTATCCAGAGAAGAAATCACTTGGGAGTGACAGGGAATTAAGATCCTGGATGGTATTATTAACTCAGCCTCTCTTCTGTTGTCCCAGATAATGCACCGCTGGCTCCAAATTTGCAGACCTCTCTTGGCAGGACCCAGTCTTCGTAGTTACGGTCCCACTCGCATTACAAGGCAGTTTAGTGACCATCTGTGCTTCTCATGCAGGTCCCCTGGAGTCCTACTCTCAGTTCTAAATGGCTTCTGTGTTCTTCAAGCCAACATACTCTAATCTCACTAAGAAGAGTTCTAATGAACATGTAACTGATTTTCCTTTTTACTGCATATGCAGTTATATTTTAGCACCCTAGGAATGTTTTTGTGCTGTGTTGGACTGGCTCCCCAAGAATCTGCCTGGCTCATTTCTCCATATGCATTTACTTTTCTTCAGCCTGGGACATCTGTTTTTTCTGTCATTGCTAGAAGCCCATGACACGAATTTGTGCACCAGTGGGGTGCCTCTGCCTGGACAGCTATTGGGGCCATTGGGGCCGCGGGAAGTTGGCCAGCGGCGAGGAGGGACCCTGGGAGGTTGGCTGTGAGAGTGCACTGACCACAAGGGGGAAGCTCTTGCGTTGAGCATCTGCCCTCTGGTGGTCGGTGAGTGTCATAATGATCCCTAGATTGGTCACTTAGGCATTTACATATAGAGATTATTATTATTATTATTATTATTATTATTATCCTCCTTTGTTCCTGACTAGGCTCTCCAGAGATAATAAGCTTTAAGCATTCTTGTTTGTTTCCTGCCCTTAAAGTAAAGGATATCAACATTCCACAGTTAATTATGAATTTATTAATGTGGTACCTTATGTTAATAAATTTTCTAATATTATAGCAATATTGGATTTATAGAATAAGTCCTAATTAATTATGAAATATATATATGTATATATATATGTGTGTGTGTGTGTATATATGTATGTATGTGTGTGTGTGTATGAATATGTATGTATATATATATATATATATATATATATATATATATATAAATAGATTTAGTTTGCCAATATTGATTTTAGGACTTTTGAACCTAGGTTTAAGGAAGAGTGTACTTTTTTTTTTTTTTTTAAATTTTTATAAATTTAGAATTATCTTCAATGTTGAACTTACTTGATTTTTTAAAAATGCTCCTTTATTGATTTTTAGAGAGAGAGCAAAGGAGAGGAGTAGAGAGATAGAAACATTGATCAGAGAGAAGCATCATCCATCGGCTGCCTCCTGCACCCTCCCTATTGGGAATTCGAGCCCACAATCCGGGCAGGTGCCCTGACCGGGAATCGAACCTGCAACCTCTCGGTGCATGGGATGATGCTCAACCAACTGAGCCATACTGGCCAGAGCCCAGTTTTCATTTTTATAGTTTTGATAGGCTTAGTAGTGATATAAAAATGAAATCTTTGCTTCTTTTCCTAGATAATTTAAAATATTTTATTTATTGGTTTTAGTTCTTATAATTTGAGGGTATCAATCTGCTTTGCGTATTTAACAAATTGTCTATTAGCTCCTAAAAGTCAACTTTTAACAATTTCATGAGACAAACTTTGTATGAAATCATAGAAATTATAACTTATTTGAATTTATGATACATTTACAGCTTATCGATATGGACCTAAACTTATCAACTTTAAAAATACCATGAGAACTGGGCTCAAATAAAATATGTGCTTTGACTTTTAAAAGAGGTTTAAAAATATTTTTATCAAAAAATACCTTTTTTTCTCAATCTTTGATAAAATCTTAATCTTGCTTCAAATCCTTTTTATAGGCATTTGATTATGTGATAGAACCTGTATTTCTTTTTTTTTTAAACAAGGAGCTTGAGTTATATCCATTTGTTTACATGATTGTCATGAAAGGGGGAACCATGAATAAGGCCTTCTTTATTTAAAAAAAAATACATTTTTATTGATTTCAGAGAGGAAGGGAGAAGGAGAGGTAGAGATAGAAACATCAATGATGAGAGAGAATCATCAATTGGCTGCCTCCTGCATGCCCCCTACTAGGGATTGAGCCCTCAACCCCGAGCAAGTACCCTTGACCGGAATTGAACCCAGGACCCTTCAGTCCCCAGGCTGACGCTCTATCCACTGAGCCTAATCAGCTCGGGCAAGACTCCAGGAATGTAAGTGGGACTGTGTTGCCAGAGGACTACAGTGAGGTGTGGTAAAAGTACTCTGTTCACTTGCAGGTTGGCCGCCTCCAAGACCTAGTGAGGAAAGGTGAACAAGGGCTGGGCTCTGCGGAAGGCCTCATCGCCAGCCTCCAGGACTCCCAAGAAAGACTGCAGAAGGAGCTTGACTTGACCAAAGGCAGGCTGAAGGAGACCAAGGATGCGCTATTGAAAGTTGAGGTAAATCCTAACCCTGGCATAATCTGAACATCAGCAAGGTAAAAATATCATTTAGTCACTTTGCTTAAACATTATTACAATCCCATTACATATAACTTAGTGTTTTACCTTCCTAGGGCTACGGTAACAAAGTACCTCAAATTGGGTGGCTTACTACAATAGGTGTTTGTTCTCATAGTTCTAACAGATGGAGGTATAAATCAAGATGTTAATATAAGCCAAGATGTTGTTGCCCTGGCCGATATGGCTCAGTTGGTTGGGCACTGGAGATTGCTGGTTTGATTTCCCTGTCCAGGGCATATGCCCGGGTTGTGGGCTCGATCCCCAGTGTGGGGTGTGCAGGAGGCAGCCGATCAATGATCCTCTCTCATCTTTGATGTTTCTATTTCTCTCTCTGAAATCAATAAAAATATATTAAAAAACAAAACAAAAAACTTTAAATACTGATTACATTTTATTTTTAAATCCTGTGAAAAAATAAATTGATTCTTTTTAAAAATATATATTTTATTGATTTTTTTTACAGAGAGGAAAGGAGAGGGAGATAGATTAGAAACATCAATGAGAGAGAAACATCAATCAGCTGCCTCATGCACCCCCCCTACTGGAGATGTGCCTGCAACCAAGATACATGCCCTTGACTGGAATCGAACCCAGGATCCTTCGGTTCGCAGGCTGATGCTCTCTCCACTGAGCCAAACCGGTTAGGGCAATAAATTGATTCTTTTTCATTTTTTTCCCCTTCTGTTTACCTGTCCCTGGTGGCTATATGATATGAGCATTAATATGTAACAAGGAATAGTTGGAATTTAGAGCTAGTGTAATACACAACTTAACATATTTATGTGATGACAGACATATTGATTCTAATCTCCACGTTAGCATTCTGTGGCATAAAGCTGACTAAACTGTATTAAGATGTGGTTTTTCTGTTGTCAAAAGTAACAGGAAGATGATAGTATAAATATAGTGACAGATCATTGCTAAACATCATGATGATCATTTTATAAGGTATATAATTGTTGAGACACTATGCTATTGAATATATACCTGAAACTAATATAACATGGTATGTCAGTGATGCTTCAATAAAAAAATAAGGTGGTAAAAATATACTTAAAAATAAACTGCTGAGATATTTCTAATGGATGTTGATAGAATGTAAGTTATTTTGATATGGAAACATGGAGGTTCTGTGTCCCTAGCTTTGCTGCATTTTATCCTGGTGGCTTTCCCCCTCCACCTCGTCCTGGCACTGAGAATCAGACGTAGGGATTCCATTTATTTATTTAAGGTTCTTGCTCATTGTTCTTCTGTCACATTGTAGAACATGATACATATTTTAAGCAAAACTCTATCAGCTGTTCCGTTGCTGATCTGCTAGACAGTTTTAATTGAGAAAATATAGGTGCTGCATTATAGCTTTCCACATCTTGGGAAAATTTCCTTAAGAGCAAGTGTGTGTTATTTTTAACCTTTCCCCCCATTCTCGCACTAAGAAAGTGCTGCATTGAATTCAGTTCTTAGCACTTACTACTTACGTAATAGCCAGGTCAGCAGTGTGGAATGGCAGTTTCCACACTGAGTTGCTTCTTTCCCATTGATCTAGGACAGTGGTCGGCAAACCGTGGCTCGCAAGCCACATGCGGCTCTTTGGCCCCTTGAGTGTGGCTCTTCCACAAAATACCACGTGTGGGCGCACATGTATAGTGTGATGGAAGGAGTACCCTAATTAAGTTAATAACAATGTACCTACCTATATAGTTTAAGTTTACAAAATTTGGCTCTCAAAAGAAATGTCAATCGTTGTACTGTTGATTTTTGGCTCTGTTGACTAATGAGTTTGCCGACCAGTGATCTAGGATATACCCCTTAACAGCTGCAGTCAGCAGGTGGGTGATCCTGAATGGTCGTTGTGATAACGGGAGGAGGGGCCATCATCTGTTCTTCTCTTGTACCCTTGGAATAGCTACAGTGTTGGCAGGGATGAAGGAAGCCAGTGTTGTCCAAAAGGTCACCAGCCCCAGGCTCCAGAGAGCTACTTGATTTATGCTAATATAGAGGGACTTCATATATATCGTATCATATTATCATAACACCAAACACACTAACCGTTGGCTTGAGGTTATATATTAAAAAAAAAAATACTCAGTAGCCTAAATTTCTCATATTTCAATCATATCAGTGGGGTACAGCTATAATGCTTAAGCTTTGAATAAATAGCATACTTTTGAATGTGAACATGAATGAATTTGAATAACTTATCTGTGTATGTAATGCATGCACATGTAAAGATAATTGACTAATAATCACATACCCATGATATGGAAGCTTTAGTTAGGATTACTAATTATGCTGTCTTTAAACTGCCTAAAGTAACTTTTAAATTTATAGACTGTAAGAAAAGATAGTTTACTCAAGGGCATTTAAATGATAAAATGTGTACCATATATTTTATTGTCAGAAAATCTCAAGTATTTATCATAGATCACACTGCCAGTTACTGTGCCGTAGGAATTTGTCATGATGCGCGCACTCTGCTTATTTGCAATAACCAGCAGTGACTTGGCTTTTGAAGACCAGTCTTTACTGAGGAGTTTTTGTTCTTCAGAGTGAGCTAGAACAAGCGAGGCAACAGCATGAAGAAACACTTGCTGCCCTGAAAGGCGAGGAGACGCTCAGAGTGGACAGAATGGCCCAGGACTTAGAAATAAAATGGACTGAAAATCTTAGGTACAGTTTTTACTCTGTAATGTAATCTCATCAGTGCAGATGTGCAGAAAAATGTTTTTCTCTGTGGCTTACACTGTCTTCCTGTTGACGTAGTAGCAGCATTTTCAATGAGTTTTTCTCACGATTAGATGCAGAGAAATTGGAATTTTTTTCCTGTTTGAATACAGATTGCTGTTTTCTGATTTCGTTTCTTTGAATATACAATAGATAGAGTACTAACCTGAAGTCAGAAGACTTATTTGTTCTAGTACCTATTCTGCCACTGATAAAATTGTTAAACCCATGATCTTGGGTTAGTTACCAATTTACCTTCTAGTCTCTCACTATGCAATAATCAGCTCCTATTCTGAGCTGACTTCTGAGGATTAATTACTTAGGAAACATGTGAACAACTACACTACAGCTATTGAGATAAATAATTCTCCTTATAAAGGAAATGCATTTGTTTTATTCTAGACAAGAGTGTTCTAAACTTCGTGAAGAGCTAAGACTTCAACATGAAGAGGATAAGAAGTCGGCAATGTCTCAACTTTTTCAGCTAAAAGAGCGAGAGAAAAATGCAGCCAGGGATTCGTGGCAGAAGAAAGTGGAAGATCTCTTAAACCAGGTAATTAAGAGTCTGCATATTATAAAGTTCTATTTTCCTGGACATTCACTAGCTTGGGGAATATTACAGCACATCATATGTTAGTTCACTGTATTTTGTTATTTTTCTTTTCTTTTACAAATTATTTTTCAATTATAGTTTGCATTCGATATTATTTTGTTTTAGTTTCAGGTGTACAACCGAGTGGTTAGACAGTCATATATACTTTACAAAGTGATCCCCCCAATATTTCACATATGCTCCTGGCAACTTACATAATTATTAAAGTGCCCATTAATATATGAGTGGATAAAAAACGTTGTAGTACATTTATACAATGGAATATTACTCAGCCATAGAAAGGAATAAAATCTTACTATTTGCTATAGCATGGTTGGATCTACAGGGCATTATGCTAAGTGAAATTAGACAGAGAAGGACAAGTATATGATTCAATTCTATGTGAAATCTAAAGGACAAAATAAATGAACAAATAAAATAGAGCAGACTTGTAGATACGGAGAACAGACTGATGGTTGACAGATGTGGGGGGGGCGAGTGGAGGGAAGTTAGGGGACTGAGTGAAAAACTAACAAGAAGCTTAAGATGTTTTAAAACAAATGGACTATTATATAGGGCATCGGTTTTTTATTAACATGGATCTATATTTTTGCATATAGATTTTTTAGTTCATCCAGTATTCTCTTAAACAGACCCTTAGGATGACATTATCCAGTCTGGTGGTTTAAATACCATCTATATGCCAGTGAATTAGAAAGTTAAATCTCCAGCCTTGACCTCTTACCCTGAACTCAGAATCCCTTGGTTGGCTAATAGGCATCTCAGACTTCGCATGTCTGACTCAGAAGTATTGATTTTCACTCTCCATCTATCATCCCAGCATCTTCACTTCTTGGCACAGCTTGTTGTTCAAAACAAAAAATGAAGAGTCATGCTTAATTTCTTTCTTTCTTTCTTTTTTTTTTAACCTTTTCCATAATCTGTCAGTCCTCTTTATTCTACCTCTGAAACATATCCAGCTCCATCCACTTCCAATTTCCTTAGCAAACACTAGTCCAAGCCACTGTTTATAATGGCCTCCTACCTGACCTCCTCAATTTCACTTTTCCACAGAACTCAGTGATCTTTATTAACAATTTTTAAAAAATATGTTTTTTATTTATTTCAGAGAGAAAAGGAGAGGGGAAAAAGAGAGAGAGAAATATCAGTGATGACAGAGAATCATTGATTGGCTGCCTCCTACACGCCCCAGACTGGGGGGTCAAGCTATAACCCAAGCACGTGCCCTGATGAGGAATTTCACTGTGACCTCCTGGTTCATAGGTAGAAGCCCAACCACTGGGCCAAGATGGCTGAGCCAAAGTGATCTTTTATGATGTCAATCAGATCATGCCATTCTCCTGCTTAAAATTCTCTCTGGGCACTGCATTGAGTTAAGGCTCTTATTCCAACTCCTTCGCTTTCCAAAAAGACCTGAAACCATCTTGCTCCTGCAGATACCTCCCCTCTCATTTCAGCCTCACAAACAGCACCCTGGCTTGCACATACGCACATGCTCAGCTACTCCGAGCTTACTGCCACCTCAGGGTGTTGGTGCTGATCCATTTGTCCATACGCTCTTCTCCCAAGATCATCTCCTTTTGTGTCTGGATCCTCCATTAATTCCAAGTTGATTGTCACTTCTTCAAAAACATCTGTCTTTGCCATCAACCCAATATCACCCCCAGTCATTTCCGATCACAACAACCTTTTTAAAAAAGTGTATGTATATGTATCATGAACTTTATTTTTCCTATCTGTTTTTGTGTATTGGTTTTACTTTGTTTTTCTATTGTTTCCTTACTCTGCTTATGATATCTCCTGGAATATAGTATGACTCTACTAAATATTTTAAAAATGAATTATAAATCTCACTTCATTTATGTATTAACTATGAATGGTATTGCCACCCAGAAACACTAGTTGTGCCTTTCCTGTTTGCCGCTGCGAGGTCTGTGATGTAAGTCACCCCAGGGCACAGCTTAGGGGCCATGCCTTTGGTTTAGATAGTTCCAAGGCCTGCACCTGGATGTGGACAGAGTTCGTTGACCATTTGAATTTAGATTAAGTATACTTCTATTGTAGAAAGTCTAAAATCCCTGAGGGAAGACCTGGCATGCCACTCTGATTTGTCATACTGGTTAGTGTTTCAACTCATTCAGGAATCTTCAACAACATGTATATTTTTGTATCATGATACCTTAAAAAGTGAAAAATTAAATATACTTCATTAGCAAGTGCCATACATTTTAGATTAGCTTCTAGTACTGGGACATCAGTTCTGAGAACTACAAAGAGCTAAAAAACTGTAACTAAAAAACCTTCAGATTTTCTTAAGTTTTATGAAGTCTGGAGAAGTTAAGGGTCTCAGTAGTATGTGAAGAATATTAATAGTATGAGGAATAAAAAGAAAAAGTAAGTATAAAATTAATATAGTTAATATGTGTAAAAGTGTAAGCAAGTTTAGCTTGAGAAGTTATGGAGTTAATATATTCAAATAGAAAGTTAATCTTTTTCTCAACTTATTTTTGTCAACTACAGTAAACTCATCCTAGAATATGTTAGTTAAGTTATTAGTAAAAAATTATTTACCAGATAAAATCTGGCTTTACTTTGTGACATGCCAAGGAATGATCACATTATGGGAAAAAAGATAATCATGTTCTGTCTGAATATTTGATTATTGTCCAAAGAAAACACCATTTTACAGAAACTTTTCTATTTATATTAGTAATACAAAATTTTAATGTTATTTTGTATTTTGAAGGGCAAAAATGTAAACCAGTTGAAATAGAAATCACATTTTTTCTCATATTTGGTGGTGGAGAGAGTGCCTAATGTTTTTTCCAGTTGTTTATCACTCAGAATTTCAGTGAACTTCTGAAAAATGAACCCAGATGGTAAATAAAGTTCCCAGATATGTCCTAGATGATAGGATTGAAAAGCTATGAGTGAATCTCTTTTTTCTTTTCCCCAGTACAAAACCAGCTTATTAATCTTCACATTTTTAAAAAATATATATTTTATTGATTTTTTTTCAGAGAGGAAGAGGGACAGAGAGTTAGAAATATCAATGAGAGAGAATCATCAATCAGCTGCCTCCTGCACACTCCCTACCAGGGATGTGCCTGCCACCAAGGTACATGCCCTTAACCGGAATCGAACCCAGGATCCTTCAGTCCGCAGGCCGATGCTCTATCTACTGAGCCAAACCGATTTTGGCAATCTTCACATTTTCAATGATTCTGTAACCTCTTATTTAGTTTCTGGCCCCAAAATTATGTAGTCAATCGAGTTAGTGTATCAGTTTTCATCTGCTCATTTCTCTTTAGAGAAATCCTTCATGAACCAGCATCAAAACTGAGTGTAATACTTTGAAGCAATAGATTGTAGCTTTCTGGAAGGAATTTGGGACAGTAATATGCCTTGTAGTTCCTTCAGTAACCATCAACTTTAAAACTGAACTCTGGTTAAACGTACTAGCCTTTGGCATTTTGCATTGGTAAGTCTGCCAGCCCACAAACATCGGACACTGTTTTAAAAGACGACAGATAATTTAGACTGTAAGTCTTAAATTCCTTTTTGACTAATTTCTTCTTCAGAACTATTTTCAACTTATTTTTTCTTGAGTACATTATAATTAATGCTCTGTGCTTTACTCTCCCTTTCCCCCCTCTGTCTTCCACTGAGTTGATTTCTGAATGTTCCCCTTTATTCCTGTGATCTTTTCTTCATAGCGGCACTCTCTGGGTGAAGCTTTGCATAAATCTATCAACAATGTAAGTGAGCGGCACTTACAGTTTGTACACAAGGGCATGTTGCACTTTTGATTTTGCATAAACTTCATCACTGCTTTAAAGCTGAAACTTAGATAAAACTGCACTTTTTTTTTTCTCAGTAAGATTTTATTTTGTTGTTTTTTTGTTTTTTTTGTATATGGGCAATAGAAGCTTCTAACTTTAAGCCATTCTCTGTGTGTGTGCATATATCTACCACATTGTATTAGTAAGCTTATATTTTACTATAAAGCCAAGCAAGATTTTACATCTCACACACAAAATTTATTATTTTAATATTTACTTTGTAAGATACAGTAATGTTTTTGAAAAACTATTAACTAGTTGACTATCATAGAATTGGATAAATATCTTTCTTCTTTTGTTAACTAGTTTATTTTTTTTAAAATTATGTGGGAGGGAAGGAGGGGGGCAAAAAAAATCAATAAAATATATTTAAAAAATTAGTATCAATAGACTTTTACAATTAATTTTAGAGAGAGGAAGGGGGGGGGAGAGAGAGAGAGAGAGAGAGAGAGAGAGAGAGAGAGAGAGAGAAAACATTAATAAGTTGCCTCCCACACACCCCCACAACCTGAGCATACACCCTGATTAGGAATTGAACTACTTGATTTTTTGTTTGGGGGGACATGTGTGTGTGTGTGTGTGTGTGTGAGTGTGTGTAGAGAGAGAGAGAGAGAAAGAGAGAGAGAGAGAGAGAGAGAGAGAGAGAGAGAGAGAGAGAGAGAGATTTGTAACAGCAAAACTAGGTGAAATGACCCAAATTTCCATCAAGAAGAATTGAAGTAATTTGTGTGTATTATATCCTGGAATTATGTCTGTTAGCATGCATTGGACTACAAACAGCAGAGCACCCAATTAACAGTGGCTGTCAAGATATTTAGTTAAGAACTCAGGTGTCTTCTGTACTTCCGCTTTGCCATGCGCACTGTGTTAGCCATGTCATAGGTGCAACATGGCTGCTCCAGCTCCTGCCATCATGTCCTGAGCAACCGTGCTAATGCAAGAGGTTCTCCTTAGAGGCTTTTTAACTTTTATCGGGACATCTTTCCCCCCAAGTCCCCGTACTTCTTTTAGCTTATTAACTAAAACAGGTTGGCACGTCCTTGCAATTAGATTTCCATGACTTTCTTTAAGCTAGGGATTTCTATCCAATCCCTAAAACACAAATCAGCTAACTGGGAAGAAAGGAAAGGGGGAGATTGGCTGTTAGGGAAGCCAGGAACAGTGCCTGCACTAGAAATTCTGTGTAGTCACTGAAAAGGATGAGGTATACCGAATTATTTTGGATGTGTGTAATTTATAAATACCACTGTGACAGGAAAATCCAACCTGTAAAACCACAAACTCACTAGCCTCCCTAATGAAAAGGTCATTAATCATTGTTAGATAAATCCATGTGCATTTTCATTTTTGAGGAAGCTACATAGTGCTGGGTGTGTGAAAGGCCACTCCATCACATAACAACACCTGCAGGTCAGGACACCTCGTGGTTTTACATTGGACGCCATCTTTATCCCTCTGTGCAGTGTACATTGGAGTGTGTCCCATCCTGCAGTCCGTGGGTCTGTTTCAGCTCTCAGCTCCTTTGGGTTAAACACTGGTCTTCTGAGTTGTCCGCTGGGACCCAAAGAATAACTTTTGTGTGTAAGACGTAGCCACTGTTTTGTCAGATCATGACAGATGTCTTCTCTGCATTTCGTGAAAATCTCCCAGCCACTTGCACGTGATGTAATAAAACCAGCAAAGGAAAACAAAACAGGCAATTCTAGCAGGAGAGAGAAGTCATTGTGTCTGGTTTCCCTTAGGGCTTGGGATTTGGCAAGAAAAGGAATGAAAGAGACTTTCCCTTTTATTTTATAACTCCTATATATATATTTTTTTCTCTCACAATGAACACCTACATTTAATGTAGAATAAAAATATGTCCGGTGGCCTGGGCCCAGTGCTAGACCCCGTAAATCAGAATATCAAGGGGTCAGGGCCTGGGCAAGTATACTTATCCAAATCTACAGAGATGACTCTGGTACACAGGCAGGTTTGAGAGCCACAGCTTACATTTACTGTCTCACAAACTGCTTTGTTTTGAGGACAAATTGTCTATTTTTTGTATTCTTTCATTTATACAAGACGATATTTTGGGAGGGACAACAGCCACCGGCAGTGCATCAACAACCAAATGTTGTAGGTAATGAATGCCAGGCCCCATCCTGACCTCCAGGCAGCCCAGTCCCTCAGGCTTGATGTTTCAGTTGCTGTTTTGAGGGAGCACCTTAAGCACCATTGTTGAGGCACAGAATCCTTATGAAACTGATCGGTAGGAAATAGGGAAAGCTCTCATTTCTTCAGAAAAATATGCCCACATTTTTTAATTTTAATTTGTCCTTTTGAAATTTTCACAATGTCTTATTTTCAAAAAACAACAGTGTTAAGTGGTAGAAATCAAAAGGCAGAGCCTACTATCAGTGCAGTTGGGCCTTTAAAATTGTTCGCGAAGTCTCTGGTGCCTATTGATCAGTCAGTGTGTTATATAATTCATATCTGAACTGCCGTGGTAAGAATTTTTAAAAGGAGGATTAACATTTTTCCTGAAATAAGGATTCTTTTGGGTTTATTTAAAATTAAGAAAATAAAAAGCATTAAATTTTAAAATTATAACTAATGTACAATATAAGGGCTTATGCCACATACTTCAGACTTTATGTAATTTGAAGCAATTACTGTTTCTCATTCATTTATTCAACAAATGCCTTTCTATAATTCTGTCCCAAACCTATTGATTAAGATTGCCCAAACTATTGAATGTAAAATCTATCTTTGTTCTCTCTTATTTTGAATTAGTGAGGTTTTATATCAATATATATTTCCATAAAGTATACTCACCTGTTAAACATTAGTTCATTTGATATTGCTTTGCTCATTATTTGTTTTTTAAAGTCCATGTCATTTTCATGCTGAATTAAGGCTGTCAATTTAATGCAATTCGACTAACTTACTTGTAAGAATAACAAAGTACATTTTGATGCTGCATTGCATGATAAAAGCTTTCTGCATCTAGTTCATGTTACTGTCTTGAGCATGAACCCGAAGATTTTAGATAGCCTTAATATTACTTTGGTGTGCTTTCAAAGTTAATATAAAATGTCTAAACTAAGTGTATTTGAACACTAAATTGCATGATAATGTCTTTTTGTACATACTTTATATTTTCTTGAGTATAGAGACAAAGATTAATCACATATTTTAAAATGAAAAATATTGCTTTGGAGTCCTTTCAAGGTAAAGTATATTATAATGTAAAATATTTAAACATATTTAAATATATTTTATTTTAAGCTGGTGAGGTTTGAGAGCATGCTAGACTTTAAATGTATAACTGTCACATCACTGGGGTACTTCATTCATTTTAAATGTCATATTTCTTCATAAGTTTCATCCTTAGATAGTTCAACTGTGAGTCAAATTGTAGTCAAATTAACATGGGAGCTCTTTTTGATATGTGAACTTTTGAGGTAGGTATTGCTGAATTAAGAGGCACTGCTGGGAACTGATTCGTTTCTTAGTTTCTTACTAACCTAAGTGCACACTTAATTGGAAGACAGGATCCGGGGCCGCTGCTAGCCCATACGGTGCCTGTGTACAAATCAGAGATACACGCCCAGTCTCTCTGGGTGGACACACGCGTACCAGGGCGGACGGCTTGGTGAGCAGTAGTTCCGCTGGGTGGGTTGTAGTCCTCACTTGGACAAGGGCCAGGTAACAGCTTTGATTACCTGTCATTTTTTTCCCCATGTAACATAGTCCTTTCCTTACATTCCTTCATGTATTCTAACAAGATGTCACGTGGCAGTCACATGAGTTCCCATGCTAGGTCTGGGACTAGAGCTGATTTGGGAAAGACAGTGGGTTGGTTCCTTCTCTGTTTCAAGAACCAGCTAGCTGAGAAGAAAATGGCTCGGCTAGTTCCATATCAGTGTTCACAAACTGTACATTTTTGTTGTCTTTTACCATTTTATGGTTCATTATTTTTTTCTTTCTGGGTTGTCCTTAATGCTCATTTCATCCTGATCTTCTTTGCATAAAATGGTGAGAAATCAGAGAGCATAATTGGTCTTGTTCCTAATTCCAAGCCTGGCCTGAGCTGTTGCTGTGACTCTCCTGCCGTTTTCACCCTAGCAGGGTTTATTTCCCTGTAAATCATGGACCTACTGCCACTCAGAGGTGTGGGGGGGTGGCGTTGTGTGGAGCCAGGGTGTTGAAGTTCCACTAGACTCCAGTCACGTGAAATAACCTCTGAAACTGTGGGTCTGTGTAGAAATCATTAAGGAGAATTCATGTAACTTCCAGTAGGAGTCACTCTTTTGGAAATACATGAAGACGGAGTGAACATCCATGTCCGCTGTGTCATTTCTCACCAGACTGTCTTCATAAAGGCATGTGCTAACCTTTACAACTAAGCCCGTTTAGAACTTTGTCCAAAGCCCTGCCAGACGTTTAGTTACCCACCCTATGCCACTGTAGCCTTTGGCTGCTTGCCTCTGACCTTTCTGTCTGCCAGCTCCTCCTTTCTTATTTTGCATCTCCAGTGATTCTCCACCCTTCCCCTTCCTTTCCCAGTGCCTCCCTCTGTGAGATGTGGGGCAGCCTGTATCTGCCTTCCATCCCTCAGATGAGAGTATTTCCCATTTACAAAAGCTCCCTACAAAGCTTCCTCTTTCCATTGGCTTTCCTGGCCACAGAAACTGCTTTTCTTGTATGTGAACACACACAGTGTCATACTTACTTGATGGAGCATATTGGACAACTTTTATCCCGTTCTCCTCTGCTCCCCTTAGATTCAGACGTCTGTTAGAATATGGCTATGTAGTTTCAAGTTACAGTTTCCTGTATAGGGGAAGTATACATATATATTTATACACATATTTTGTGTCTTTACTCTTTTTAAAAAGGACTTAATTTTAAGGATTTTAAGGCACCCAGAAGCAATGCAGACATTAAGGGTGATATCTGTTTTCAAAAGGAGTAACAAATCAGTTTTCAATAGTGAAATAAAGGTACCTGTCATTATTATAAGGATATAACTAGAGGATTGTGGGATGGTTATGATTTGTAAAAAGTTTGAAGGTTTGAATGAAATAAAAACTCAAAATATCTTTTTTAAACAAGGATTCTAAATTATGAGCTGATAAATCTTTTGAAGAGTAGCCTTTTAATCCTCAAATCAATTTAGCTACCATTTACTGAGCACTTACTACATTCTAGGGGCTGTTCTAAGTGAACTGTGCAGAGTAACATACGTCATTCTCACACAGAGGTGTTATACTAGCAAGTGGCAAGGCTAGAATTATAACTCAGAGCCCACAGTCCTGACATTACTGCCTCACAAATAAGCAGTTTAACTTTTCATACTATCTCTTTGAAGTGACTGTAATACTTTAGTTGTCTTTTGTCTTAATTTCATATTGTGAATATTTATTGCAACACAACATAGGTGTTCATTGTGGGCTGCAGTGTTCTTTAGTCTACAAACTTAATGTCACTAAATTCTGTTTTTAGGATAATGACTAAAAAATAGGATTGAAAGCAGCACTACCTAAAGATTAGATACCTATGATATATTGTAAACATTTTAAGATTTTTTTTTAAAAGAGACTAGTTTGTCCTTTTCAATATATATATATATATATATATATATATATATATATATATATATATATATATTATTGATTTTGAGAGAAAGGAAGAGAGAGAGAGAGATAGACATATCCTTGATGAAAGAGAATCATGGATCGGCTGCCTCCTGCAAGTCCCCCACTGGGGATTGAGCCCACAACCCAGGCCCTTGACCGGAATCGAACCTGGGACCTTCTAGCTCTCAGGCCAGTGCTCTATCTGCTGAGCCAAACCAGCTCGGGCTCAAGATACTTTCTTAATGCAGTTGTTTGGCTATAGAGGATATCAATGAAATGCTTCCCCCTTAGATTACAGTTTGTGAAATGTGCCTTGTGTTTCTTCCTCACCATGTCCCATCGTGTGGCCTAGATCTCCTTGCTGAAACAGAACCTGGAGCTGCAGCTTTCCCAGTCCCAGACTTCTTTGCAGCAGCTGCAAGCCCAGTTCACGCAAGAGCGCCAGCGACTCACGCAAGAGCTGGAAGACTTAGAGGAGCAACATCAACAGAGACACAAGTCTTTAAAGGAAGCACATGTCCTTGCGTTTCAAACTATGGAAGAAGAAAAGGAAAAGGAGCAAAGGGTAAGGTTAATGTGCCGTCTATTCAAATGAAATCCAGCGGCCTAATAATCATTAGCCTTCAACTTCTTAAGAATGTTTTAACTCGAGGATACTGTGTGTGGCTATATTTCAAGTGTTTTCCAGTATATGACTTCCTGTATGGGTCACAGTATTTAAATACATACACTAGTTACACACTATTGCCAACAAGTTAGACTAGGGCCAGAATGCTGTATCTGTTTTTCCATTATATTGCCAAGTTGATGATGAGACTATGATAATTGTCCATCTGGTTTGTTATAGAGTTAACAATGACTAAATAAGGTTATCATGGTCTGACTGAGCTATAGCCACTATAACTACTTAATACTATTTATGACAGTAGTCTTTCATCAAATTTTTAGTTTTTCTCTTTCAGGCTGGATCTTCAAAAGGCATGTATTCCAAAGAATTTATATATTTTTCAACCCCAATTTTTTTCCTCACACTTATAAAAGAATGTATAAGACTCACAGAGAAATTACAGGCATTTAAAATAATGCAATCCCCTATGTACAGCCCAAAGGCTATAGAAAAGCAGTGATATAAACAAGTCACTCACAAGATATTTAAATTAAAATAGATGCATTCATATAGAACCTCCCCATATCCGTTACTTAGTTCTTTGTTAAAATTGTAGTTAGACATTGTCTTACTGTGATTAATTTTGGTATAGTTTATTTCTTAACACAAACATCCAATTTCTTCTAGGGACTTTATGGTAATTAAGATAAAGAGTGATAGAAAAATACAGTTTTATTATAATACTTTTCAATATCTATAATCAATATCTGTAATATGCAAATTGACTGTCACAAAGATGGCAGCACCTGTAGCCACAAGAGGATGGCGCCCAGTCCCCTCAGCCCCACCGGAGGCCCCCAGTCTTTTCAGCCCTGCCAGGGCGGGAGGGGAGTCGGGGGGGGGGGTGGCAGTCACGTGGTGCAGCTGGACCCATCCTCAGCCCCTCAGCCACTCAGGGCTGGCCTGAGGAGCAGGCAAGCCTCGGATGTCGGCTACCCAGCCACCCAGGGCAGCCCGAAGCTCAGGTAACCAGAGCAGGCCGAGGCTTGCTCTGCTGGCAGTGGCAGCAGCAGAGGTGTGATGGGGGCATCGCCTTCCCCTGATAGCCAGGTCCCCTCTCGCCCCTGAGGGCTACTGGACTGTGAGAGGGAGCAGGCCGGGCTGAGGGACCCCCCTCCAGAGCATGAATTTTCATGCACCGGGCTTCTAGTATTTGATATTTATAAGTGTCCTCATCTCTTTTGTCCTGATCAGAAGATCTTTTCATATTAATACCCTCATCCTGTTTTTTCTAAGTCTGTGCACAGAGAAGAATTATTCATCAGTTTTAGGTGGTTCACCCCTGTTAGCAGCTGTAGAAATGTCTTTATTGAAAACTGCTTTTAGGGTGAGAGTCCATATTCCAATTCAAACACAATATATTGAGTCAGCTTGGTTCCGTGGCTATTAGTTTATTGTTTAAAGTGGCTCTACTAGTTTATGTTCTAATGGTGATTATCTCTTATTTAATTTCTTGTAAATGGATAAAAAATGCCTTGTTTTTCTTAAGTAATGATTGGGTTTAGTAATTATTTTGTTTGCAGTTTCCTTCCTGTAGTCTATCATAATAATAATTTGAATATCTTTCTACTCTCGTAGGCTCTTGAAAACCATTTACAGCAGAAACACTCTGCAGAGCTTCAGTCACTGAAAGATGCACACAGAGAGTCCATGGAGGGCTTCCGGGTAGAAATGGAGCAGGAGCTCCAGACGCTTCGGTTTGAACTAGAAGATGAAGGAAAGGCTATGCTTGGTACTTTGGATTATAATTTTGTCTTATTAATTTGCACATCCTCCTACTTTAAAATTTAACATGAAATCACAATTTTTAAAAAATATATTTGTCTGTAAAATTTCTTTAGATATGCTAAACTTCTTTTTATCCTTGGATCCCAGCTTCTTTACGCTCAGAACTAAACCATCAACATGCAGCTGCAATTGATGTGTTACGGCATAATCATCATCAAGAATTGGCAGCTGCTAAAATGGAGTTAGAGAGAAGCATAGACATAAGCAGGAGACAGGTAGAGAAACATTCTGTTTTGTGCTTATTTCTTAAGTGTGAGTAGATTTGAAGGTTCACAATATTCTAACAAGTATTTTATAATAACTAGTATTTTCAAGTTATTATTTTTTACTATCCAGATTTTTTTAGTGCAATGAAGGCTATCATCGGTTTATCTGATAAATGACTTTTATCTAATAATTTGACTTTTACTTTGTTGGTCTTCAGCTATGTTAAATGACCAGCCCAAATTTCTTTCTCATCACTAGAAAGTTTTAAATGAGCAACCTTATAATCATGGACGGAAGTTATATTTTCTTCAGGTGGGCTGCTGACATTGAAATCGACAATGTCTAGCTCGGCCTGTAGAACTTTAGAAAACTGACTTCTAAGAAAACGGAAGGAAGTTTATCTTTCAGGCAAGATAACTGCATATGGCCTCTGGACATAGTCTGCTTTCTAAGCCATGAGATGTGTGTGTGTGTGTGTGTGTGTGTGTGTGTGTGTGTGTGTTGGGATGGCCTCCGTAGACGTGGATCCTTTTTAGATTGAAGGACAATGGTGCCAGCATCTTATTATAGACCACGTCACTTGTTGAGTGTGTGAGAGCCCTGTGTTCTAACTTCAGCTCTGCCATTGATTATAAATCTTCCTTGGTCAAACCATCTCTTGGGTTTTAGTTTGCTCATCCATAAAATGAGGGAAATGTGCTCTTATGATCTTTTGGGTCTCTTGTAGCTCTGACATTATTGAAGCTGTAGCCATGTAAACACTTACATATATGGAAAGGGAAGAGGACTTGAGGCTTTCTCATTCCGGCGCTTTGCTTTTGAAGTAATGCCAGATGTGTTACATTTGACATCCTGGTGTTCCATTTTCTTTCCCTCAGATAAACGCAGAAAGCAAATATGTAGAACTTTTAAGAATTATTTGCATTTTGCAGAGTAAGGAGCACATGTGCAGAATAACAGATCTGCAAGATGAATTAAGGCACAGAGAGCATCACATCTCTGACTTGGATAAGGAGGTACAGCACCTTCATGAAAATATAAGTGCCCTAACCAAAGAATTGGAATTTAAAGGAAAAGAAATCCTCAGAATACGAAGTGAATCTAACCAACAGATGAGGTATGTATGCCATTAATTATATCAGGATGAATTTGCAGTGTTATCGGACAGATTGTTGTGATGGTATATAGCAGTATAGGCCTATTTCTATGACTAGACTATCTTCTAATAAGATATTGAAGACCACTTTTTAAAAAATATATTTCATTGATTTTTTACAGAGAGGAAGGGAGAGGGAATAGAGAGTTTGAAACATCGATGAGAGAGAAACATTGATTAGCTGCCTCCTGCACATCTTACAGGGGATGTACCTGCAACCAAGGTACATGCCCTTGACCAGAATCGAACCTGGTACCTTTCAGTCTGCAGGCTGACGCTCTATCCACTGAGCCAAACTGGTTAGGGCTGAAGACCATTTTGACCTTGTTCACTGTTATAATCTAGAACGTAGATGAAATGTTATATTTTGAATGATGTATATGCATTCATCCACTTTGGAAATTGTAGAAAATTAACTAAAATCCTTTAAAAATGTTATTTCAAAAAGCATTAAAGGAGACAACTTTAACAAGCTAGAAGATTAAAGTTAGTAACTTACTTTAGGTTATTTCCATCAGTTTCCTGTACATTGTACCTAAAGCCATTTCAAATCTGGTAGAATATAGAAAGTTTGACTTGAGAATAACATTTTCTTAACTAAAAATAAATTAAACAGGTTGCATGAACAAGATTTAAACAAGAGACTTGAGAAAGAGCTGGATGTCATGACAGCAGACCACCTCAGAGAGAAAAATATCATGCGGGCAGATTTTAATAAGACTAACGAGCTACTCAAGGAAATAAATGCAGCTTTACAAGTGTCGTAAGTCACATTATATTAAAGAAAATTCTATGCCGATAATAAAATGAGGAGCACTGTGTCTTACCTCAGTTTAGCTACTCTTTTGAAGTAATTAAATGATGCTTAGAAAAGAAAACAAGTGTATATTACAGATGGTAATTGTGGTATGACATTTTTTAATTAGGGTAAGTCAGTTGAACGATTATGTTTATTAGCTGCTACTTCTGTAATTCAATTAGGACGAAAATTTGTCTAAACATTGTCCCTGAGGATCATGAACTGTCATCCATGGTGAAAACTCAAAACATGTCCCCATATAAGGTTAAGTAAAAAGAGCATATGGTGACCAGTAGATCATACTAATAATACATATTTTATAAAAAGGTCAAAAGATCTTTAAAAAACAAATACAAAATATGAATGAGAGTAGTTTCCTTTAAGGACTAGAATTAGAAAGTATTGGGGGTAAGGAAGAGCAGAGACTTCCTTTTTAATGTTATATACTCTACTTAGATATTGTTTGAGTTTCCATAACAAGCATTTGTTTTATGAACTACCAGTTGCTATGATGTACACTGACCACTAGGGGGCAGATGCGGAACACAGGAGCTGCCCCTGGTGGTCAGTGCACTGCCACAGGGGAAGTGGTGCTTAACCAGAAGCTGGTCTCATGGCTGGCGAGCACAGTGACTGTGGCAGGAGCCTCTCCTGCCTCTGTAGCAGTGCTAAGCCATCAGCTGGACATCCCGAGGGCTCCCGGGCTGCAAGAGGGCATAGGCCAGCCTAAGAGACCCTCCGCACCACCCCCACCCCCTAGTGCACTTATTTTGTGCACCGGGCCTCTAGTTCTAAAATATACATGTGCCTAGTCATATACTTTTGTTTGGCTCCAAACTCTCAATTTACTGATTATTTTTGTCAATTATTTTTAAAAGCTGCATGGGAGGACTATCAATTTTTTAAAATACAGCTTTATACAGCTTTTTAGGCATTTCTATTTTAGGTTTGTGTTGTCTGTGAACAATAAATATTGACCTATATATTCTCAAATCCAAAATAAATAAATTAATTAAAATTTAAATTAAAAAAAAAAGTCAGTATATGCCTGGGGAGAATCTAACAATGACCCTGAATAGTACTTTTTATATTCTACTTCTGTCTCTTCTCTTTTTGCATTACTTTTAATGGGAACCCATATTTTGAGTAAAAAGACTATATGTGTATGTATGGTTACCTCAAGGCAGTGTTTCTTTCACACTGCCTTTGAGAATTTGGTTATTTCTGGCTATCTCTGATATTATTGTCTTAATATTTTTAATTGATTCATTTTAACTTAAAAATTTAACAGAAAAATTTAATTATCTCTACAGTGAAACCATAATTACTACTGAAAAATTACATCTATTATTCAAAATAGAGGTTGAGCTATAGTTATATAAATGTAAATCCTGTGAAAATAAAACAGTATTATTAGATTCTAGCTAGCATGATGTTCATGACCTGCCTGAGTGTTGTGAAACAGGGTAAGAAGTATATATTATGAAGGCTATTTAAGATATATGAACCCAAACAGACTTTCTTCTTCTTGTGATCAGAAAAACTAAAGGGGAACAAGTTAAAAATCATCTCCTGTACCTTCATTTATTCACACCTAAGCATTGGGAAGCAATGCCAGCTAAGAACGTTGTGTGAGGCAAGTGAAAAAAGTTATCATGTTGACTAGTGTTGACTTGAAGTGGTATCGAAATAGGACCAAGTGTTTTTCCTATTAGAATTTCAGACACTAATAATTTTGGAAGGATTCTTGCAAGTTAAATCTATGTCATATTACTTGTTTTCTCCTTTAATGCTTTCCCATTTGTGTTTATGTTGATTCTATCTCTCTAATTTAATGAATTATTTTTTCCCTTTAATATCCAGCTATTTGAAAAAAAAATTGGTGCTGTAAGGGTATTTTGTGGAGAAGGTGAATTGATAATTTTGTAGGTAAAGAATGTTTAAGCTAAATGAAAACAAATATTAGAATTTAGGTTCAGAGCAGACCTTTATTATGCAAAATGGTAGCTTAGGAATTGTAACTGATTTTAGACTACCTTCTTATTGTTCTAGATCAGCGATTTTCAACGGTATGCCACAAAGAATTTTTAAAACATGCAATACCTAACTATTTAGTCAGGAACACTGACCTCTTTTCCCTTAGATTGACAAATAAAATAATGACAACAGGCAACACAACAATAGGAGTTCTGTGCAAATGAATCAAAATGACCTATTTTTTTTTGTCAGATCAGCAGAAAAATAATATATATTTTGGTGTGCTGCAGAATTTTAGCAATTAGTTTATGTGTGCCATGAGGTGAAAAAGGTTGATTATCACTGTATTAGAACCAAAGATAGGCATAAATTTAGTGTGTGTGTGTGTGTGTGTGTGTGTGTGTGTGTGTGTGTGGAGGGGGGGTGTTAGTGACCATTAACAACCAAGTATTCTTGTTCAGCAGCAAGTAGTTCTTGTTACCTTGCTTTTAATGATAAGGAAAGTACTCCAGTGACATCTTGTGGCTACTCCAGTGTTAAACCCAATGCCTTTTTCTTTGGTTTCTCAAGCTTCTTAAAACCTTTGCGCATAAAATATAAAAGTTTTGTCCATAAAATGCCATATTGTGATATAAGCAGGGTCATTTTATGTGAGCTCAGTGGGTCACATTTTCCACTCATTATACATTGTCACAAAGAACAAAAATAGAGATAGTGGAACCTCACTCTGAACTGATAAAGTCCCACCTAATCTTGAGGCTGTTACTTCCTAACCCACAACTCTTATCACCCTCACTCCTCCCCACCTCATCTAAAGTTAGAACTTTAGCTATGGGACTGGATAGAGGGCCAAATATGTTATCTCCACACCCATAGGTTGGGCTGAGTTAGTGGAGGAGTTTCCTGAAATTACTAAAATACAGAGATTCTGAAACAGCTCTGGAATTAGGGGATGGGCATGGGTCACCAGTTCCTTGAAGACAAATTAGATTATCTACAAATACATCTGTTGAGTGAATACATTTTCCTGTGAATCTTCAGTAACCATAATTTTTTGAGCTTAAGTTTTATCCTAAAAACAATAATGATTTTTAATTGTTCTATGATAATTATTTAAAATTTCTAAAGTTGAAAGTGCTTTCCCCAAACTAAGCCAGCAGTTTTCATTTGTATCTTCTGAATTCTACCCTGTTCTGAAATTTTAGACCCTTCAGGGTCCGTGTCTCCTCTGCTCGTAAATGCAGCCTCTATTCTAGTCTTCAGTGCCTTTGGCCCAGTTACCTTGTCATTTCAATCACGGCAGAATAGGCCTCGAAGGACATACAGTTCTCTTACCTGATGACCCTTTTTTACAGTGCATATGGATTAGCTGATAACAGCATTTTAAAACTGAACTTCTTATAGACCAGGAAGGAATGGTTTCATATGTGTGTCCCTTGTTTCCCTTTCCTCTATTTTTTTTCTTGTCCCCTTTGTATATGTTACCAAGCCTTATGTCATAACACAGTATTGTATTTGTGGTGGATCCTAATACGAAGCCTGCATTTCCAGCTAATTTGGTAGCATTCAGCATATCGTTTCTTCTACAGAGCTTACCTTACCTCAACCCCATATGCTCTAGAATGGCATAAAACGAATTAATTATCCAAAAAGTACACAGCAAAGCCTTTAAAATCATCTAACCCTGGCGGGTTTTTAATAATGCTTTAGTTCTTGAAACAGTCCTGTCATTACCCTCTAAAGTTTTAAGGGAAAAGTTTTGGTTTTTAGTTTTTGTGTGTATAAAACTGGACTAATATGAAAAACTGTAGGTATTACCAAATCATCATACCGAGCTAAAGATTTTCTTGTTTTTAGACTAGAAGAAATGGAAGAAAAATATCTAATAAGAGAGTCAAGACCAGAAGATTTACAGATGATTACAGAATTAAGAGCCATGCTTACAGAAAGAGACCATGTCATAAAGAAACTAATTGTAAGACATTTTGTTTTTGGTGTACTCATGTAGCAAATCAATACACTGTTGATTGGGAAAACATGGGGAAATATTTTAAAGTAATGCTAAACAAAAATTGGAAGTATAAACTATGTGCATTGTGTTTGAAAGTTTATTAAAATGTTAAGAACAAGGGAAAGAAACTCTAAGTAATTTTAACATTTAAATTTGGTGCTTCCTTTTTCAGTATTTTTAGTGCATATCAAATGTTTAATAATATGTCATTGTCAGTGTACAGTTAATATACTATTGAAGTGTCTGTATTATACATGCAGAATTAGAATTGGATAGGAAAGACTAGCGCATTCATGCATTCGTCTACATTGTACACTTGTAGGTTAGTCAGGTAATTTCCTAAACTGTGTTCCATGAAATCCTGTTCCCATGGACGAAAGGTGTCATGATAAAGACTAAGCTACAGGCTCTCTCTTGAAGAGTCTCGGTTCACATTTAGGTGTTAGGGGCTCTGAGAAATCCATCAGGGAAGAAAATACAAACTTGACAAATACACTGTTTCCGTTAAAACCATTATTTCCTTAAGGATAAAAAGTACACAAACATTTTAAAACTCATAAAACATTTCAGAGCCTTCTAAAATTATGTGTTCTGACCAGCAATTGACATGTTGCCTTTTACTGCCTCTGACATGAGAAATCTTTCAGAGTAAACTAGAAATTGAATACTAATCATTGTTTGCTCATCGATCCCTTCAACTAAAAACTTTGGACATTAGCATGCAAAGAGAGGCTAAGAGCACTTATTTCTGAAGTTCTTTCTCCTTAACATATATCTTTTAGCATCTACATCTAGATAACGACGAGTCTGTTGTCTAGGCTTAGAAGTTACTGCCAACAGCAGCAGGCAGTGAATAGATTGGGGTCTCTAGGTGAGCCCAGGAGCAGGCATTGGGAAGATAGAGCGTGTGCCATGCTGCTTCTACACATTAGCCACCCAGTTCCCCAGGCACTGTGAGTAGGGGCACCCATCACAGATTGTTCTGTCCGAAGGCAGTAGGCTCAAGGAAAATTTCCGTACATTCCAGGCACCCAATTATCAAGTGCATCACATACATTTCATCTGTGGTCCATAGAAATAGCTATTGATTTTCCGGCTCTTCCTGAGTGTGACAGATAAAATTGTACTTTTCCCTCACAACAGGAGAGATCTTAGACTTCAAAGAGTAGAGTAACTTTCCAAAGCAACACAGTTGGTGACAAAACCAGGAATCTAGCCGAGGGTTGTTCCACTCTTTTCCCACTACACCCCGATTCTGCGGATGAGGAGGCACATGGGCTAAAGTGAGTGATGAAAATGACAGTCGTAACTAAGAGAGATCTCTCCTAGAGCACACTCCTACATCTCACACTGTCCCATTTACTTATGTTTTCTCCCACCCGGCTGGTTCTTCAGGTAGCCCACGCTGTTGGTGAGGACAAAGGCAAAGTGTCTGTCTCTGTACGGGCTGTTCACTCTGTCTCTGTCTGTGCTTCCAACTGTCGTCCTACATTCATGTCTCAGAGAGGAGCTTAGACAAGATCAACTATCTTTACAATACTCAAGAGCAATGCTACATCCTAGTTTCATCTTCACGTCTAGAAACAACTCAACCATGCACACAGCTCCACGAACGCAGGTTAAGCTGGCCCACACTGCACAGTCAGCCCTTTGCAACGGAGATGGGAACACGTAAAACATTTAGACCCCGCCTTAAGGGAAAAGGTACCAACGGGCAGAGAAGAGAGCCGGAGCATAGCGTTTGAAAGATATTGAAAACTGACCCACCAGCAGTCTTTAAGACCCTGGCAAGCGGGTTAAGAAATCTTTTGAGCAAGGTATATAAATCTTCATTCAGGTTTTTATTAAATTTTGGATGAAATGGCATTTGAACAATTAAAGTTGTTAAACATTCACTAGAAAAATGTTTAAGAGATGTTTGTAATTCTTTTGCTTAGGAGGATAATAAATTTTATCAGCTGGAATTAGTCAATCGAGAAACTAACTTCAACAAAATGTTTAATTCAAGTCCTACCGTTGGTGTTATTAATCCATTGGCTAAGGTATGTGCCGTACACACTGTGAAATAGGGATATGGTTTAAAACTTGATAAGATAGAGTAGCATAGGCTAAACCTTCCAAAATACATTTTCTTAAATTTAATCATCTAGGACTAAAATCTATGAAAGCTTTATGTATTCATTTTCAGCATGAGACTCCAATAATATTCATTTATTTGTGGATAATGCTCCTTAAAATAACATTTTATTAATATCATAAAAGGTTGGTGCTATCATTTTGTTTTTTATATCTCTTAAAAAAACAACAACTGTCTTCTAAGGCTCCCCAAGATAACTTCTTGTCATTTTCTAGTGCTCACCAGCCTCTGGGGGACCCTCCAGCTCTGTACCCAACAGCTCCCCCTCAGTAAGGCCTGCCATCTTAAAGGACATTGGGTTGGACCAACTGTCAGAGAAAGACTGTACTTTTCTCAGTTTTACATCTTGTCCTTAGCAATTAAAATGGAACATAACCTATTCTGATCCTTTATTTACTCTTTTAGGATAGAAGAGCCTTAGAGACAAATGAAATGGACATGACTAAGTCATACATCTTTGTACCTCAGCTTCCTATGGCTCCCATCATAGTGCTTTGGGTATAATGGGAAGTCAGTAAATATCTGTCCAGTTGCAAAATTTCATCCTGTTACCCGTAAGGCACCAAAATTATTCTAGTGGTGAAAGCAAGTAATAAGGAACACATAGTTACGTATATTGGCTTCATAGGATTACATATATTTTGGCAAAAGTGCTAGTGCTGCCAAAACCGGTTTGACTCAGTGGTAGAGCGTCGGTCTGCGGACTGAAGGGTCCCAGGTTCGATTCCAGTCAGGGGCATGTATGTTGGTTGTGGGCACATCCCCAGTGGGGGCTGTGCAAGAGGCAGCTGGTCGATGTTTCTCTCTCATCGACGTTTCTAGCTCTCTATCTTTCTCTCTTCCTCTCTGTAAAAAATCAATAAAAATATATATTTTTTAAAAAGTGCTAGTGCTAAAGCTATTATTTAATGTGGATTTTGTTAATTTGCACATCATGCCTAAGTTAGGTATGTCAGGCTGTATGTCAGAAATTTTTGTTTTCAAAGGCCATAAAACTTCTGTTAAAAACATGGTATGTGTCCTTTCACCAATTAAAGCTTTCAAACTTTAAACTTACTAATAGATGTTTTATAAAATAGAATGACTGAATTAGGGAGACTTATAGCTATATCTCCATAAAAGATAAAAGTAATTGGTGAATGAATGAATATAGTCTGTTTTACTTTTAAGTTCATAATTTAGGGTAAAGTAAATTTTTAATTATAAAGCAAGATTAGGAGACTTGTTGAAACAAGATATACTCGAAATATTTTATTTTATTTATTGTTCATTGGAATTAAGTTTGTAGCTACAAAACAATTGCTATAGAACTTTACCAACAATACCTTTGATTTCTTAAAATAGAAATCTTCAGTAGGTTTAATTATGCCCTTTGGTGACTGGAAGAAGAAAATGCAAAAGATATACCTCTCAGAACTTTCAAATTATTTTTGACTCCTAAGAGTGACTTCAATTTCCACAAATAGTTCTGAAGAAAACATTATTCTTTCCTTTTCAGTTATACTAACATAGGCTCCTTATCAGAGACTCTGTGGTCACAGACTATGATATAGAGGACAATGTCTAGATAGTGAGATTATTACTTTGTAAGTAAAGGAAAAGGGCCATCTTATCTATTAATTGTATTTTTTCCAACCTCTGGAATCATTTCCAATATTTTTTTCATACATTTAATTAGTAAAATATGGGAATATTTATAAGTATTTTACATGTTAATTTTTATTTTGCATAGTAAGATGATGTTCATTGATTCTAGAGGTGTGAATAAAACAGACTAGAGTTAATGATTTACAAGCTGATAATTTTTTAATATATATATTTTTTTATTGATTTCAGAGAGGAAGGGAGAGAGAGACACATACACATCAGTGATGAAAGAGAATCATTGATTGTCTGCCTCCTGCACGCCCCCCACTGGGGACTGAGCTTAAAACCCAGGCATGTGCCCTCGACTGGAATTGAACCTGGAACCATTCAGTCCATAGGCCAAGGTTTACCCACTGAGCCAAACCAGCTAGGGCCAAGCTGATCCATTTTGATAATCTGCTATTGTATTCCCCATTTCATCTGTTTATTTTAAAGAACAATTAAAAATTTAAAAATTGACTTGTTTTATAAACTTTAATTTTTTCTAAAAGATTGTGATCCAATTAAGTGGGAAAGGAGACTTAATTATGCAGATTTAATGTTCTCTCTTCAGAAAGATGGTGCATTAAATATAAAACCAAATTATTTCTCTTTCTCTAAGTCAACTTTAGATCTTAAGTAGAAATACGAGGTTTGTTTCAAACTGTATTGCCAAGCATTTTCTCATTCCCTTTTTTTTCCAGGCAAGGACTGCCTCCCTCTGACAGATGGCTAAAGTTCACAGGACTCTCTCTTACTATTATGCTTAGTTTTATACCTTCTTTTAATTTTAGCCCAAATCCTCGTGCTATCTGAAAGACCTCCTCTTTCCCCCCCTTTTCCTCTCAGTATTCTTTTCCACTTGGCGTTCTTTCCACCGCCTCCTCCTTTCCCCATGAACCTTCCCTGAATGTTTCTTCCTCACTCCTGTCCTGACAGCATGTCTGTCTGTGAGAATTCCATGTAGATGAAGAACACCCCCCAGGATCCCCAGACCACATTTTGGGTAACACTGGTTCATGTTAACATCCCAGTTTAGCAGAAAGCTTCCAAAACTTTCCCATGCCAAATTTATATCTTCTGTGATTCCTCTTCTCTCACTTGTCCTTGTGCAGGGTTCGTCCTCACATGTATTATTTTTAATGCAGCAAAAGAAGAAGAATGATAAGTCACCAACAAACAGGTTTGTGAGTGTTCCCAATCTAAGTGCTCTGGAATCTGGTGGAGTGGGCAATGGACATCCTAACCGCCTGGATCCCATTCCTAATTCTCCCGTCCACGATATTGAGTTCAACAGCAGCAAGCCACTTCCACAGCCAGTGCCACCCAAAGAGCCCAAGGCATTTTTGAGGTGAGCCCCGTCTCACCAGTGATTTTTTTTTCTTTCCTTTTTTTTTCTTTAACTTGAGAAATGTATCTTCTTACATTGTAGAAATCTACTACTTTAAGAACAGCCTAGGAAAATACTGTGAAATATTTTCAAAATATATTGATCACCTCCCTAGAGAACTCTTTTTTGATTTTTAAAAGAATTTTTCCCCCCAATTTGTTAGTCAATCTTCTAAATGCGTGAAGAGGTGTTAATGTAATTTACATGCTTAGAATTTTAATATTTATGGACTCTTGCTTCATTTTTAGTGTTGTCACTGATTTTTCATTAACAATCCATCCTTATTAGAGAACTTAAAATTTGTTTTAATTTAGCGGCTTTTATTGGTTTCTGTTTCTTGTGTTATATGTTTATTTTTTTTCCCCTTTCTTATTTACCAGGATTACTTATAAACACACAGGCTTATTGCCCAAGTAAAAAAATATGTAAGCTCTGGGAACTTAATGATATACATAAGCAAAAAATAAATCTAGAAAAAGGTGTTTATAATTGGCATTCCAATCTTAAGTTTTCTCAGAGGTGTTAAGTGTATTAATGAATAAAATTTAAATGAAATCCAGTTTTTTATCCATTAAAGATTAAAGTCAGAAGGTACTGTCGTTTTATGCTTCCTTATTATTACTGATTATGTGCTGCTTTAAATTTATTTACTTTTAATTTATTTTTATTAACTCTCAGCAGCATCATTAGTAAGAGTTTCTCAGGTGGACTATCTTTTTCTAGGTTAAGTGATTAATGACATAGTTAATGACTAATTATTTTAAATAGAAAAAAAATAGGTTCACCTTTGGATGTGTCTGCGGCTAAATATTTTGTGTTGCTTATTTTCCCCTGTGCATGGGTGCGTTCAGGTATCAGTAAGATGCATGTGCATGAGCTCAAGAAACATGACTGCTGGAGTTACCATACACATTGTTGCGTGCCTTGTAATTTCCCCCAGACACGGTAGGGATCCTTTTATTTCCTCAACCAGCCCAAAGCATCTTTAGTTTGACTTAAGATAAGTATAAATTATAGAGCTTTGAAGGTGGAGGGGAAAGTGACGTTTTAATGCACTCCTTTTCCCCTTAGAGCATTTGCGTATGGAATTATGAAGTGAGAGTTTAATATAAATATATACCGGTAGTAGAAACACTATACTGTGGTTTCGTTACTTACTTTAGTTGTATTTATGCACACATGTGTAAAAAGCAAGTGCCAGATTCTGAAATTAGCCAAAAGAGAAAAGACACTGAGAGAGAGGAATGTTATCTTGTTCTCTCTTATTCCCCACCATGCCTGAATTTTTTTTTTTTTTAATTCAAAGGAGGTGACATTATTTCCCTCAACTATTTGTTTTTTGTTTTTGTTTTTGTTTTTAATTGTGACGTGGCTCCTCCTGACCTGACTTCACCCGAGCTGCTGGTGCCCTCTCAGGCCCCATGGCGTGGAGAACCGAATCTAGGGTAGAGGAGTAGTGATCCTTTAACACACGTCTTGGGGCCACTTACACTGCTGTTTTATGTGCTTTGCCCTTCCTTTTGCAAAACAGCTTGATGCTGGGTTACATGTCTCTCTCTTTATGAATTCAGTCCTCCCCAGAGTGAAGCTTCCCCGGTGGCTTCTCCAGACCCCCAGCGCCAGGAGTGGTTTGCCCGGTACTTCACATTCTGAAGGAATTGGGTTGGCTCCGCTCTGTGTGGACTGTTCCTAAGAGCATGACCTTAGGGCCACTCTGTCAAACACTGTGAACGAGAAAGTATTTGTCTCTCCGATCTGAAAATGCACTGTATTTCCTATGGTATTTATCGGAATCATTCTTATAAGGTACTATGTTATGTGTGTAATTATAATAGTTATTTTTATTTGAGATGGAAGAGTCTTTAACCTTTGTAATTACTGCATAATAAATTTTGTTAGAACAAATAATGATGCTCTGCATTTTATGTTTTTCATTTCTTTTCAAGTAAGTTTATTTAATTTTTTAAGTACATTTTGATTCCAGGTAAGACGTGCCAAAAAGTTTTACTGCACAATAATTATAAAGTACTAAATTATTTGGTTTCAATCATCGTAACAAAATCAGGAGGGACAAATATGTCATCTTAATTTGTTCCATTATTATATATAGCTATAATTAAACTGTTCTCTAATCTTGCAAGGCTATTCCAGTCCTTCTCAACTTCTTCCAAAAAACTGAACAAGAGAGAATAATTCCTAACACATTCCCAAATTGGGAATGAAGAAGTAAAACTGTCACTATTTACAGGTAACATGATTCTATATACAGAAAATCCTAGCCTGGCTAGTGTGGCTCAGTGGTTGAGCATCTATCCATGAACCAGGAGGTCACAGTTAGATTCCAGATCAGGACACACGCCCAGGTTTGGGCATAATCGCCAGTAGGGGGCATGCAACAGGCAACTAACTGATCAATGATTCTGTCTCGTCACTGATGTTTCTATCTCTCTCTCCCTCTCCCTTCCTCTTTGAAATCAATTAAAAAAAAAAAGAAAAATGTTTAAAGATCTACCTGACTCTTGAACCATAAAAAAAGAAAGCCCTAAAGACTCCACAAACTATTAAAAACAATAAAAATGCAATAAAGTTGTAAATTTTGACAAACTGACACACTAGACACATACCTCACACTCTTTACAAAATAAATAAATAAATAAATAACTCAAGGAGTATTATAGATTTAAGCGTTAAACACAAAACTGCAAATTCTTAAACATAGGAAAAACCCTGATACCTTGGTTTGGTGATGACTTCTTAAAAACACCATCAAATGCACAATCCATGAAAGAAGCAATTGATAAGCTGGACTTGATTAAAATTAAAAATCTGCTCTGCCGAAATCGGTTTGGCTCAGTGGATAGAGCGGTGGTGTGAGGATTGAAAGGTCCCAGGTTTGATTCCGGTCAAGGGCATGTACATTGGTTGCGGGCACATCCCCGGTGTGGGATGTCAGGAGGCAGTTGGTCAATGTTTCTCTCTCATCAATGTTTCTAGCTCTCTATCCCTCTCCCTTCCTCTTTGTGAAAAATCAATAAAATATATTTATTTAAAAATCTGCTCTGTGAAAGACAATGTCAAGAAAATGAGAAGATAAGGCCACAGCTTATCAAACTTGTAATATTTGCAAGGCATATCTGACAAAGTACTCTTAAAAACTTAACAAGAAAAAAAATCAACCTGATTTAAAAATGGGCAAAAAAGGCCTTAGTCAGTTTTGTCCAGTGGATAGAGCATCGGCTGAAGGCTCCCAGGTCCCAAGTCCCAGATTCAATTCCGGTTAAGGGCACATACCTTGGTTGCAAGCTAGATCCCCAGCCACGACTTCCTTCAATGTGTCTCTCTCATATTGATGTTTCTTACTCTCCCCCTCCCTTCCACTTTCTCTAAAAATCAATGGAAAAATATCTTCAGGTGATGATTAACAATGAATAAATAAACAAAAAATAAATAAAATGGGCAAAAGACCTGGAATAGCACCTCACCAAAGAAAATATAGAGATAAAAATAAGCATATGAAAAGATGTTCAACATCTTATGTCATTGGAGAAATGCAACATAAAACGACAATGAAACACCTTTTAGAATCAGAATAACCAAAATCCAAAACACTGACAACACCAAATGCTAGAGAGGATGTGGAACAACAGGAATTCTCATTCATTGCTGGTGGGATACTATATGGTACCGCCACATTGGAAAACAATTTGGTGGTTTCTTACAAAACTATACCATATGTGCCAGCAGTCATATTCCTTGGTACTTACCCAAAGGAATTCAAAACTTATCTGCACCAAAACCTGCTCATGGATATATATAGCAGCTTTCTCCAAAACTGGCAACGCTTGGAAGCAGCCAAGATGTCTTTCAGTAGGTGAGTGGATAAAGTGTGCTACATGCAGATAATGGAAAAGCCATGGAGGAGCCTCAGATGCATATTTCTAAGTGAAAGAAGCCAATCTGAAAGGCTACTGTATGTCTTCAACTATATGACATCTTGGAAAAGGCAAAATTATGATGATTCCAAAAAGATCAGCTGTTGTTAGCGGTTAGATGGGAGGGAGGGATGAACAGAACACAAAAGATTTTTAGGGCAATGAAGCTATTCTATATACACCACAATAGTGTATACATGTTATTGTACATCTGTCAGAACCCATAGAATGTACACCACTAACAGTGCAACTACTGTAGACCATGAACTCTGGGTGATAATCATTTCAGTGTGGGTTCATCCACTGTAACAAAAGCACCACTCTGGTAAGCAGATGTCAGAAGTGGGGAAGGTTGTGGGGACAGTGGATACATGAGAACCATCTGTACTTTCTGCTCAATTTTGCTGTGAACCTAAAACTCTGAAAACATAAGTTTATTATTTTTTATTAAAAAAACAAATTTTAAAAGTTCAATTGTCTTTCTACACACTAGAAAAGAACAATCAGAAATTGAAATTGAAAATATCATTTACATCCACAAGTATGATTTCCCCCTTCCACATACCTTTATGGGCAAATCTGAGTTAAAGATAGGTTTAACAAAAAATCACAATATTGAGAGTTATTTAACACCTAAATAAATAGTGAGGTCTACTTTGTTCAAAGGGCATATGACTCAATATTATTGACATGTAAAATCTTCCTATATTGACCTACAGAGGCTATTGCAACTGCAACAAAAAATCCCAGCTTTTTAACAGAAAGTGACAAACTGGTTTTGAGTTTCATACAGAAACACAAAATTCCAAACAGCTTTGAAAAAGAACAAAATTGAATACCAAACACTATCTGATTTTGACTCCTTATAAAGCTACAGTAATCAAAAACAATGTGATATTTTTGTAAGGATAAGACAGATATGGCCACAGAATAGGAAAATCTTATAGCACACGTATAAAGACAACTATTTTTCACATAAATGCAAACGTTTTTTTCCATGGGAAAAGGTTAGCTCTTTCAAGAAATGGCGCTAGCTACCCATAGGCAAAAGTTACCTAAGATCGTATTTTCGCATGTGCTAGTACAAAAATTAGCTCTCAATAGGCCTAAACACAAAATCCTCCAAAACTTCTAGAAGACACAGGAGAAACATCTTCGTGGCTTTGGCTTTGGTAGAGTTCTTAGAGCAAAAGAGTAATGCAGCCCTAGCTGATTTGGCTCAGTGGATAGAGCATCAGCCTGTGGACTGAAAGGTCCGGGGTTCGATTCCAATCAAGGGCATGTACCTTGGTTGCGGGCACATCCCCTATGGGAAATGTGCAGGAGGCAGCTGATCCATGATGTTTTTCTCCCCTCGACTTTCTAACTCTATCCCTCTCCCTTTCTCTCTATAAAAAAAAATCAATAAAATATATTTAAATTAAAAAAAAAAAAGAGTAATGCATAATGCTTTGTCTGCAGCACCACACACCTTCCCATTCCACCTGGGACCCGAACTCTGTCGGCCCCGCCCCCGGACTCCTCGGCCCCGCCCCGGACCCTCCTGGCCCCACCCCGCTCACTGCGCCCCGTCCACTCCCGGCTCCACCCAGATCCTCTGGCCCCGCCCCTCCCGCTGAGCCCCGCCCCCTCGCGTCCCGGAAGAGCCGCCGGAGCTGCGCGAAGTGGGGCGGTGCGCGGCCCGGCGCCCGTCGGGAGCGCGGGCCCGGCCGAGCCGCTCCTCGCGTCGCGCGTTTCGCACTCGCGCGAGGCCGGCCCTCCGGAGCCTGCGCGCCCCCGCGGCCGGCGGCGTCTGCTGCGGCGGCCCCGCGTGCGCGCCCCGCCCCCGCCCCCGCCGGCCTGCTCGCGCTCCGGGCCGGCGGCATGCCGCCGCCGCCGCCGCCGCCGCCAGGTCGGAGCTCCCCGTGGCCCTGCGCCTCGGGAGCAGCGCCCCCCGAGTGACTTCTGACGCTGCGCGCTCGCCCGTAAGTGACAGCTGCCGCCTCGCCGTGTTTATGTTTTCTCCCCCCACTCCGGTCTGCTTAGTTCAAAACTGTTCAACTCTTGGCGGGCCGGTGCCCGAGCTGCCCGGGAGCCGAGCCCGGAGCGCCAGAGACCGGCCCAGGCGTTGGAGGTCAGGGCCGCGTCCGGAGATCCCAGTGTGCGGACAGCGGCCCAGGGAGCGGGCGCGATCACGTTTGCCCGGCGGCCCGCGGGCACCGGGCTGAGCAGCGGGCGGGCGGGGGCGGGGCCTAGGCGAGGGGGCGGGGCTCCAGGCAGGTGCGGCCCGCCTAGGCTAGGGGGCGTGGCTCCACGAGGGGCGTGGCTTCCGGCTGGTGCGGCCGGCGGCGACTGGACCTGCGGTGCTTCCCTGGGGAACCAGCTAGTGGTCCCCACTGACTCACCTTCCTGGTTTTAATTGTATTTTAAGCTTACATAGTTCAATAAGAAACCGGCAAGGGGACTTGAAAGTTACAAAAGAATAAGTGTATCTATCGGGGTGGGTATAACGTTGATCGGGTTAGCAGTCTGCTTAGAAACAATTGATCAGTTTTGCACCGTTACTGAAAAGGAATGCTATTTTAAAAGAAGATGCTCTGTTTAAAAAGACTAGGCGAGATTTAATCTGACCTGAATTTGGATCATGGATTCTGTGGCTGCCCCCTGCCCGCCCAGTGTGGAGCTGTCTTTTAAATTGCTACACTTGTGGCTCCACATTTAATATGCATTCATAGAATTTTAAAGGTTCTCTTGTAGCCACTCTTGGGAATACAGTTTGTTTGTGTTTGTTTGTTTGTTTGTTTGTTTGTTTTAAAGCAAAGGCTACATCATGGAAACACTGTATATTTTCTTCCCGGATGCTTTGTCTGCTTTACACTTGGCTCAGTGTAGATTACCTAACCTAAATAAATTACTTACCATTGTAGTGGCCCTAATATACATATACTCATTGGTTAATCTCATTGGCATCCTGTAGTTGTCAGATTTCTTTAAACATCTCTTCTGTTATAGAGCCTAGAGCAGTCAATGTTAGTTGAATGAAATAAGTCGCATTAATGTACACTTGTTCTCCCATGTTCTCTCTCTGTTTCCAAACTAAATAAAGTGTCTTAAATGATCAAGCTTAGACAGTTTATTTGGGATTGTCACCCCATTTAAGTTTAATCCTTTTCTCCCTTGTGTTCCTATTCATATTGCATTTTTACCACTGTTGGAGTGCTATTATATTGATCTATCCCTTAGTTCTCTGAGGTGATATAAAACCTTTTAACTGTGCTTTTATTTCAAAGCATAGGGCCTTGTATGTGGGAGGTATCTGTGTGTGTACATAAACACAGAATGGGGTAGGTACCCTTTTAATCTGTAGATACAAATTTTAAAAACTCATTACCAGGAGAATAGGATAGGTGATGTAATAAAATATACTGTGTATGCTGTACTTATTTATCTAGGTTTTTGTATTTTTTTACACTCTTGATGGCTTTTTTTTTTTTTTTTTTTTTTTTTTTTTTTTCCCTGAAGCCAATAATTTTCCTGGAACAGAAAGAGAAAATAGGAAATAAATTCACCTCCAAATTGAAATTCTTAAAGCCAGTCTAATAACTATTCAAGCCATAACTGGTGATCAATCTGAATAGTAGTGTATGTTCTGCATGCATGCATGGGTGTGTCTGTGTGTGTGTAATTGCAGAGACAGAGAAGGAGAGAGAGAGTGATGTTCTTCATATGAATAAAACCCAGAAGTAGGGTGCTTGCAAAGAACTCTACCAGGAGAAACTTTAGCCAAAAGACTGGTACTTAAGATCTTATACTGGAGAACAAGTGTATGTGTGAAATTATTTAAAGAAAAGGCAAGGACCTTTTAGTACATAATCTAGAGTTAATGAGGAAGAAGTTTTGGGAAAAGAAATGGGAAAGACATTGGATTATTTTGGAGTTGGTAATCAGTAACAACATAATTCTTTACCCACTTAAAAAATAATACACTTACCAAATAACAGATAATTTAGATCTAATTAAAATGCAAGTTCAGTTAGTATTTTGAGATTATAGTGTGACCTAAACTCAGGATGATTTAGAACCACGCATTTTTTGTTAATTTGTGTGTAAATCTAGCAACAAAAGTATAATACACTTCTTTCTTTTTTTCTTTAGTTACCTAGATTCAAGATGAATAGTGATCAAATTGCACTGGTTGGTCAAGTGTTTGAGTCATATGTTTCAGAATACCATAAGAACGAGATTCTCCTAATCCTGAAGGAAGGAGATGAAGATGCTCATTACCCAGTTGTGGTTAATGCCATGACCCTTTTTGAGACCAACATGGAAATTGGGGAGTATTTCAATGCCTTCCCCAATGAAGTACTAACTGTGTTTGATAATTCACTAAGAAGATCAGCCATGACAATTCTCGAGTCCCTTTCTCAGCCCGAGGGTGTCTCCATGAAGCAGAATCTTCATGCCAGGATATCAGGTGATTCATTTAAGAATTTTATTGCCATCTTATTCTCTTTGGAAGATTTTTGAGAAACCTTACATATTGAATATATAGTACTAAAAAATAATTGTTATTTGTACTTAAAAATATTTTTATTATGCAGTTGATACAGCACCAGGGGATTTTTCATAAAGCATTTCACAGAAATTTGGAAATAAGTTTGTTTTCTGAGAATTAAATTATAAAGGCAACACAATTTACAGAGATATACAAAAATTATTCTAAGCAAAAGTATGGACCCTCATTGGCAAAATATGATACATTCTACGTTAATGTGAATACAGAATATTTTCATTAGAGAATGGGCAAGTCAGTCTTGGAAGCACAGAAAAAGAAGTCATAGTGGCAAATGTTGGCAGTGTCTGCCATGCTTCTATAGTACATAGTATATGGAAGCAAGTCTCAGCAAGCAACAGAGATGTCGAGTATCTGTGGACTTGTAACCTGCAACACAATACTAATGTAATCTGGTACCTTAAGCATTCAGCTCATCTGGCTAATTTGCTTTAAAAAAAACCCCACAAATCTCATGCTTCCCAAACTACCTTCTGATTATTATTATATTTGGCTTTCAGAGTAGATATATTCTCAGAGGAAAAATGTGCCAACCATAGATACTTAGAAGATAATAATACCTGTTATGATTATTTCTCATGAGCTTGGCAAATTTGACAGATCTGTTTTCTGTGTGCAGACTTATCAGGTTTCAGAGCTACTAAATTCTGAAGCCCAGGCAACGGACCATGTGACATGAACCAATGTAACAAATGCTACCTTGATAAACCTATTAGAAGGTTTTGACTACCACAGCCAGCATTGCTCTGCTCCAAAGATGCTTTAGCCAACATGAGAAAGGGCATTTCCACATAAAAATTTTCTTCGGCATTTTGCACTTATCAAGTTGCTTTTTTACTAATGGTGAAAATCACAGGTTTTTAAAAGATAAAGTAATGCTGTGGGTAAACCTCTAGGTAGTTCAAGGACTGGAAGCACTCCCAGACTTACATACTAATGAATCCTGACTAACTGGAAAAGCAATGGCCTTCTAGCATTGTGGCATTTGAATGTTATGCAACCATCTCTTTATCACTTCGCATTGTGGTTTACTCAAAGAGTAATACATTGATTTTATGTGTGACTCGTTGCAGTATATTCTTTGTTGAAATGTGGTTATAATTATATACTGTATTTAGATCCTACTGAGATAAGCCTCTTATGAGAATGAATCCTTTTTTAAATCCTGGTTATTATATCATCCAGATATGTACTTTTAAAGTGAGTCCACTGATAATTGTTATTTGATAGAATTATTTTCTATTTTCTTGACTCTGTCTGATTTTTTTTCTTAATTAAAACACAGTTTTTTCCCCCTTGAAATTATACTTTCTTCCTCAGGAAATGTGAGAAAAGTATATTCCATGGAGTCAAATGCGAAGGTTGATGTAGTTTCTTCTTATTCTTCTTATTCAGGTTTGCCAGTTTGTCCTGAGCTGGTGAGGGAGCACATCCCTAAAACGAAGGATGTGGGACACTTTCTATCTGTCACTGGGACAGTGATTCGAACAAGTCTGGTGAAGATCCTGGAGTTTGAGCGGGATTACATGTGTAACAAATGCAAGCATGTATTTGCGGTCAAGGCTGACTTTGAGCAGTATTATACCTTCTGCCGCCCCTCTGCATGTCCCAGCTTGGAGAGCTGTGATTCTTCAAAATTCACTTGCCTCTCAGACTTGTCTTCATCTCCAACTAAGTGTAGAGATTATCAGGAAATCAAAATTCAGGAACAGGTAAATGAGCAAAGCAATGAGAAAATGACAAATTTGTACAAGTATTATTTAGCTATGGGCAAATTGCCAGCACTAGGGAACACAAAACGGATGAAACTTACATAATTATTTTGTAGAAGATCAAGTGTGAAACTGTTGCATGTATATCAGAATTTAGTCTTTAGTGACCATTATATACTAGTAAACATCTTTTTATGTAGAGCATTGGCAAGAGGATTATGGAATGACTTAATAATTATGCTAAAATTAAGTGAATATTTAAGAAGTTCAAACTGGGTGTTCTTCAGTAAGAGATAGGAGAACATTAATTGGGTTTAATTGGTTATTAAACATTGCAATGGGCCAGATTTAGGGCATAGGCCTAATTTTTATTTACTATGCCAAATGATGTATATATAGCCACTCTTTCATACATGAGAGTGAACCTGATTTTTATTTTACTTGCCACTTAAACACAAAGGCTTATTCGGTGTCAAGAATTTAGACTTCTTTCTTTCTACACCATTCTTAACTCATGGTTTTTATTTTTATGGTTGTCTATATTCCAGAATGGCAGTTTAATCACACCTGTATCCTAGTCAGAGAACAGAAAAAGGAATATAGACAAAACCACATGCCATGTAACCCAAGTGTCCATTTAAGTCACATGTGTCAAACACAAGGCCCGCGGGCCAAATCCGTCCCGCCAGGCCTTGCAATGTGGCCCGCACTGCGCTGTCATCACTGCACTCCGCTGCGTTTCCATCACAATGACAGTTTATGACTGTTTATTAAACCATTCGGCCCGCGATTTAGGCTGGATTTTAGATTTTGGCCCCTTCTCTGATTGAGTTCGACACCCCTAATTTAAGTAGTCTTCAAAATCTCCTATAACATGTCTACTTACATCTTATTGGCCAAAACTTAGTCATATGACACCTAGCTGCAAGGGAGCCTGGGAAATTGAGTCTTTTTACTGGGCACTTGCTCAGGTAGAATAAAACCAGGGTCCTGTTTCTAAGGAATAATCAAAGGAACTGAGTGATTTATCCAAGGTCTTCTGACTAGAAATCAGGAAAGAACTGCCTCTTTATTTTTGGTATATAATTTATTATTATGTTTAGTAATTGGAATTATTTTGACTATCCACATGGTAGATTATATTTGCAGATGTTTTCCAGATGTTGGTGTTTTTATTTTAGTTTAGTTATAATGAATTATTAAAACTGATAGTATGCACAATTTATAAGAAAAGTCTGTGAATCCCTGTCATAATTAGATTATATTACAATACAATAGAAATACAAATGGTATTTTCAAGAATTGCTAGTCTTCAGAACACTTAGCATATATTTAAGCATATTCAGTATCTGTTTTCTTCGCTAGGTTCAGAGGCTATCTGTTGGAAGTATTCCACGATCCATGAAGGTTATCCTAGAAGATGACTTAGTAGACACTTGCAAATCTGGTAAGAATTAACTTTTTTAGCTTACATAGGAGGTCCTAACATATGGATATGGAAAAAACAATTTTTATTTTCCCAAGAGTGAATGTGGAGACTTAATTGCCTACCTTGAGAACAGAGACTGGCATGGAGGTGGGACAGGATAGCAGGAAAGAAGCTGGGCTGGAGCTTAGGGCTCTAGTCCAGCTGCTTATTTTCTAGATGAAGACTTGCCTACAGTCCCTTGGAAAGTTAAGTTACAGAACTGGAACGTGAACCCAGATCAATGGACCTCTAGTCTGGGACGCTCTTCAGTGCATCATAGCTTCGCAGGAGCAGCTTTAAAAATGTTGGCTTTAGTGGGCAAGTGGATAAGAACAGAAACGAGGAGGGATAGGGATTGGAGGCTGTGACTGTCAGATGCTGTGCAGCCTGAATGGTGTCTAGAAGAAAGGAGGTGACTGTTTCTCTCTACTCTGTGCTGGTTTTCTGTCCTCTGAGGGTCCTCAGGGTTTCCACTAGCCAACTGCCTGAATTGGGAAGGAACTGGAATCAAACTGAAAGAACTCTGGGTGGTTAGCATGGATAAGCCTCAGGAAAGAGATGACAACCAACTTCTATTTGCTGGAAGATTGTCATATAGAAATGGAATTGAAATTACAGAAGAGCTATAATTCAGTGGGCTGGAGGTGCAGGAAGGTAAACTTGACTCAGTATCTATTAATCAGAAATGTCCAGCATGGTTGGATGATGGTGAGTTTAAGCAGAGGATGTGCAGCATCTTGTTAGCTACTTAGGCCTCATGATCCGAAGATCTACAGTGTTCCAGGCAAATTACAGACTCTCTGAGCCTCAGAGCTGTTCTGAAAATCCAAGGCTCCAAAAGCCTGGTTGTTGTGATGTCATTCTTAGTTCTACTTTGATATTTAGGCCAGACAGACAATTCCTAAGCTCTCCTTTGCCCCTCTCACCTCACTTTGTCTCCTCTTTTCTCACTGGGAAGCCTGGGAAGAAGCAAATTTAAAAAATACTTGTGGAAGGGTGAAGATTAATATAGAATGGAAGTGTCCTATTTTGACTTTTAAATTTTTGTTTTTACAAAGAAAATGATAGGGAAAAGTGTTATTTGAAAGATAAAGATATTAGAAGGTTTTGTAAATCAGCAGTACCACCAAAGCAGTAAATACTATTCTGTCTTTTGTAGGAACCATGTTTAAATATCATAAGTGATATTTTTAATAAAATTTAGTATGTTTTTTCAATGGTTGTGTCAGTGATAGCTTGATGATAAGAGAGTAAGGGTTGCTTTGTTCAGCTGTTGGTAGAGGGTAGGGCTGGTCAGCAAAGGGTACAGATCACAGACAGAATCAGACTTCCTTCAAGGTGATCATCTTAAAGTTTTATTTTATTATTTTTTTATTTTATTATTATTTTTTAAATATATTTTATTGATTTTGTACAGAGAGGAAGAGAGAGAGATAGAGAGTTAGAAACATTGATGAGAGAGAGTCATTGATCAGCTGCCTCTTGCACACCCCCTACCGGGGATATGCCCGCAACCAAGGTACATGGCCTTGACCAGAATCGAACCCGGGACCTTTCAGTCCCCAAGCCGAGGCTCTATCCATTGAGCCAAACCGGTTTCAGCAAGTTCTTTTTTTAATAGACCGCCTCTCTGACTCTGGCCAATCTGAGCAGGCTTTTTTTCGTTTCAAAAGTCTTCTTATACGCCGGAAAATACGGTATTTGTTATTTATAAAGTTGCCTTTGGCTAGAAATATGCTTTCTATTCTGGGAATTGCTACCATTGGTTCCATGCATTTAGCTTTTACAACATACTTCAGAAAATCAAAAGCTCTGTGAATTATACATTGCATATTGAAATTTAGAGTCTAAGGCATTTTGCACCAGCAAATATATATTTGACACAGCCTTGGAAATAAAGATGTGCCTGTTAGTTAATTCAGAGATAATATTTTTGTGCAAAATATAAACACCAGGATTGGATTTGGGGTAAGTCCAATATCCTATGTTCAATAAGATTGAAATCTTTGGGGACTAGAATTTTGCCTTTTCCAGGGCCAAAATATTAAATGCCAAGCATTCAGAAACATTTGTTATTGATTTATTGAATTGTATGCAATAATGAGTTCAGATGTTTGTGTTTGGAGAAGGTGCATATAAACTACCAAGCCCTCTTGGGAAAATCTGTAAAAGTTTACTATCCTGTTCACCATGAATTAGAGAGTTTCCTAAGGTGGGAAGGAACCAACCAAGAAGGAATAAGCAGGGTTGTGTTTTGGTGTTTCATAGTTTATTCAAAGTTTATTTTACTTTATTTTATGTAGAATAGGTATTCATTCATTCATTACTTTGTTCATTCATTCTTTTGTTCATTAAAAAAAAAGTGAATACGTTAACAAATGTGTTAAGTAAAAATTAATCTATAAATTACTAAGAGAATGTCATCACAAAATTCTTTCCTTTCCCGACAGCTGATTATAGTTTAATCTTATGGCTGCAATTCTCACCTCTTTAAATGAAATCTCTGTGGCTTGAGCGTCTGAGAGGATGGGCCTTTCACCCAATATAAAAATAATGAAGAAGTCATCTAGTAAACTATTTTCCCAGTGAAGGCTAATGATTTGGAATGATTATAATGTGACAGATTAAGAAAAAATAAAAATAAATTTCCTTTTAGTTGTACAGATACAAGTGCCTGTTTTTAACAAAATTAGGAATCTCTGGTGGTTTTTGCACCCACATTGTTTTCCGAGTGCGGGTTGGATGCGTGTAAAGCACTCTAAACCCTGGTCAGGAAGTGGTTTATGTCTTTGTCCTTTGACATGGGCATCTGTGCCCAGTATGCAGAGTGCTGCTGCGGGACTCATTTGGTGCTCTTTCCTAGGTGATGACCTCACTATTTATGGGGTGGTAATGCAACGCTGGAAGCCCTTTCAGCGAGACGTGCGCTGTGAAGTGGAGATAGTCCTGAAAGCCAATTATGTCCAAGTAAATAATGAGCAGTCTGCAGGGATCGTCATGGATGAGGAGGTCCGGAAGGAATTTGAAGATTTTTGGGAACACTATAAGAGTGATCCCTTTGCAGGTTTGTGATTAAGTATAAAGCTGATAATTATTAATGGCATTTCATTCAATAGTTAGACATGTTGCCTTTGGTTGGGGGTAGCCTTACTTGTCCCATAACTCAGCGACTGAGTGCACAGGGTAGTAGCATCAGTCAGTGCCTCTAGCCGCAGCCTCCCGAAGCCCTTTTCTGGCATGGCCTCCTCCATTTAGAGATCTGGGGGAAAGGCTGGCGTCCAGGAGGTTTTCATTTCTAACTATTATAACATCTTAGACTGCCAAAAGAGTTTCAGAAGATTCTACCTTCTGTACCTTAAGCAGGAAAAACTCATCCTATTGTGACACCTTGTCTGATGTCCTTTAAATTATATGGCCATCTTCACATGATTTTAACTGAAGATTTAAAAATAGGAGCTAGGTAGAAAAGAGGATGAAAGATGGAAAGATACAAAAAATAAGCTTTGTCATCACAGCAAAAATTTTGATTATGACACTAAGCTATAATTACATAGATTAAAACATCACAGCCTTTGAGTGCATAGAGTATTTTCAATAAAAAGCCCAAATGTATAAAACACCAATTAAATCTTCAAATATCTGTTTTCATTCTTCGTTGGAGGTATCTTCTGAGAAAAATAAATCAAAGACAGGCTATTAAATAGGCTATTATTAAAAAAAAATTTCGTATTAAAAATAATATATTTTTTTAATATTTCAGAGAAGAAGGGAGAGGGAGAAAGATAGAAACATCAGTGATGAGAGAGAATCATTGGTCAGCTGCCTCCCGCATGTATTCTGACTGGGCATCAAACCATGACCTCCTGGTTCATAGGTCAACACTCAACCACTAAGCCATGCTGACCGGGCAGTAACAGGAAATCATTTTAGACGGTGGAGTGTGTTATAGGTTAGAGAGGACATTTTCAGTTATGACTTCTTAAAAATTGTTGGCAACTTCTGGTCTTTCTACCTTTTCTAGGAAGGAATGAAATACTGGCCAGTTTATGCCCTCAAGTTTTTGGGATGTATCTAGTAAAGCTTGCTGTGGCCATGGTACTGGCTGGTGGGATTCAAAGGACTGATGCTACAGGAACACGAGTCAGAGGTTAGTACCTATTTAAAACTTTTGAAAAGTTTTCACACACTTAAGGAGAGAAATGAGAATTGGTTTTTCCTGAGTAAAAATTGCTTATTGAGCTTTACTTTCCAAATGTAGTCTTTTAAAGCTGACAGTTGTCTGGCTAATACTTAGCCCAACATCTGTATATCAGTAATTACTTTCTAGAATTCCAAAGTCTAAAATCATAAAATTTTTCTAAGTTTTTCTCTAACCTCTCAGGGTGTCACAAAATAAAATCTTCACATTTCTATTACTGTGTTTTTCATCAGATCCACCATCTTCTTTAGGAGGGGAAGATTAGAGCTCAGCCAGTGTGTTCAGTGGTTGAACTTCGACCTATGAACCAGGAGGTTCCGATTCGATTCCTAGCCAGGGCACATGTCTGGGTTGTGTACTCGATCCCCAGTAGGGAGCATGCAAAAGGCAGTCTATCAGTGATTATCATCATTGATGTTTCTCTCTCTTTCTGCCTCTCTCCCTCCCTTCCTCTCTGAAATAAAAAAATAAATAAATAAAAAATGTATATATTTTTTAAAGATTTGTTTAAAAAAAGATTAGAAATAGTGCTTTTTAATGTCACCAAGTCAGCATCCTTCCATCTGTGACTGTCAGTGTGTTTCTCTCAGACTGCTGCTCTCAGTCATCTGCCTGCTGATTCCCCTTCTGCTGGTGGGTTGCAAATGTGTCATCTGCCATTTGGTGCTGCTGTAGGTCACACATTCAGGCAAAGATTACTCTGTGTGTAATTATGTCCAAGTGGCAGAAAGCTCTTTTGCTGCTACCACACTTAACTGACCTGAATCTAACATAAAGTAGGTTTATTATGGTCTTTGTATAGGGCATATGAAAGTCATAATAACCAAAAACTAGACCAAAAAGACTCCAAATACATTAATGTCAATCTGGCAGTTAGTAGGTACTCAAAAACCATGTACTGCAATATAGAATAATAAATGTCATAAGGTTTATGTGTATGGTATATTTTGATCACCCACTATTTGCAAGGCACTCTGCTAAATGTTGTGCCTAAAAAGGAGTTTCCTATTAATACATTTAGAAAATACTAAAATATTACTGAAGAAATTTACTTGATCAGTGATATAATACAACCACAGTATATTCATGTTCATTTGTGTTACCATTTGAAAAAGAAGAATGCTTTAAGATATTTCATTAAAGTAAATTTTTTTAAATGAAAAGATTTCCACTTAATTGTTGGAATCATAAATGATATATTTATAAAGCACTTATAAAGTCCCACATTTTTCAGTATTTATTTCTTTTCTTTCACTTCTTTATTCTTTAAAATATTACATGTCTCCTTTTCCTTCCATTGACCTCTCCCCATCTGCTCCCACTCCCCCACCTATCCCCAGCATTCTGTATTTATTTTATTTTAAAAAATCCTCACCCAAAAAATAAATAAATAAAAATAAAAAATCCTCACCCAAGGATATTTTTCCCATTGACCAGAACGACCAGTGGCTATGACACACACTGCCGCGGCCAACCAGCTTGATCCAGGCCCTGATCGCCGCCCCTACCCCATGGCCAGCCTGGCCCCTGATCAGCCCCCAACACGGGACCGACCAGCCCAGCCCAAAGGGCCCCCATCAGGGCTGGCTGGCCAGACCCCACCCATGCACAAATTCATGCACCGGGGCCTCTAGTATAAGTTATAAATTGTGTTCGTTTTCTTTTTGATTAATTATCCTTGTTCATAGAAATTTATAACTTGACATTTACTTTTGTCTAGGTGAATCTCATCTTTTATTGGTTGGGGATCCTGGCACAGGGAAATCTCAATTCCTCAAATATGCAGCAAAGATTACACCCAGATCGGTGCTCACCACAGGAATTGGATCTACTAGCGCAGGTACTTTACATGACAATTTCATTTAATGTCACTATAGAAACTAATACAATGGCTTTTTTCTTATTAAAAAGTACCTACAATATGATAAATTTCAAGCTAATTTCTGAGTTGCTGCCAAAAATGGAAGGAAATATGTAGCATTTCTTTTGAAACTCTTAAGAAAATATTTTAAAAGCTCCACCATCACTTATTTTCCAAAAATTTATTGTGTATATTTTTGCATCTTAGTTTTTAATGCTGCTATTCACTTCTCTCATTATCTAGTGATTACTTTCATATATACTTATGCATGAAAAAGCATATATTACCTGGCGTTGTTGTTTGAGGGACCCGTGAGCAGAACACTGAAATAAATTAGACGGTAAAAATTTTACTTTACGTAGATAGATGATGTTGCACTTAAGGCGTTTTTATGCTCAGAGATCTCACAGGCAATGGAAGCTCCGGTGGAAAATTCTTAGGTGGAAAATGTGTTAGTATGTGAAAAGTGTCTTTTCATCATTGCAGTGTGCAGCTTTATTGTAATGATCCTTCAACAAGTACATTTAAAAGCCTTTGCAGATAGGATATCAAGATTTTATTACAAAGTGACTAGGAAAAATATATTTGAAAAGACGTTTGATGCCATTTTGTAATTTTACAGCATTTTGACTAGGGAAATAGTTCCCCTGTTTTTCTATAATGGGCCTTTGATTTCACACATTTTATAAATGTTATTTACTACTTGTCAGGGCAGCCTAACCCTGTGCTCAGACTTCTTATGAGAAGGATATATTTTAAACTACCGTTAAGCAGCAAATCTCCGTTAATGGTCCTACATGAGAGCACCATTCTAAGGAGCCCTCAGGTTTGGGCATATAACTGATGGTACATTAAGAGTTGACAAGAAACGATTTGTGACTTGAGAGGGGTGGGCAAGCTTCAGGAAAGGAAGTAGGCAAGAACAGAAAGAACACTTCATGAGCATTGAAAAACTCTCATGTCCCAATATTCTAGAGGTTTTGTTTTTTTTTTAACCAAACCAACAAACAATTAAGGTGGCCCCAAGTAATTATGTAGAATTTCTAAGTTAATTATATGCAGTGCCAAGAAATTAGTATAAGCTATCTTGTGAGTTTCTAGTAATTTTAGAGTATTTGGAAGTTTTAAAGTGAATGGCTACTTTACTGATTCACTATATTAGCACTTTCCCCCTTTTTAAAAAGTGCCAAGATCATAATCCATATATGAGGGGGAAATGACAGGTAGAAAGAATGTTATTTTAGAGCGATAGAAGTTACTGCTACTTATATCTATCAAAAGACCCAGATTCTTCTGTGTAGCACAACCCATTAGAGTAAAAAAAAAAAATCAATTGAGTCAAAATCAGCACTTCCACAATGAAATCAATTATACTGAATAATCTGTATATAGTAGAGGTACACTATAAGGCGTGAGGCATTTATATTGAAACTGTTAATATAAATATATACTTGTGTTATGGGGGTCATACTTTACTTTTAAACAAAATGCTTTACCATGGATTAAAGTTTTGAGAACTGCCGCCATAGACTCACTGTAAAATCAGCAACCCGAAATCCTAAACCCAGAGGGTAAGACCACATGGAAGCCTAAGGTTTCATAAGGTCATAAATGAACACAGCATCTCCTCTGACTTCCTGCATGTCTCCTTAGCTCACAGGATACCCTCATTCCCTCCGACCTCCCCTTTGATCTCCTTGGTGGCACATCGTTTTTATCTATCTTCCCAGGACACAGCTATTTACTATGATTGAAAAGGGGAAAAATAGTTCTAAAACTTCTAGCGATAATTCACAGTGTCTGTAAATGAGGCTAAATGGGGGGGAACTAGCTTCTCAGTTCCTAATGTTTGAATACTAATTTTTCCTACTTTAATGTTAATATTTAAATTTCTTACAGAACCATAATTTTTTAAAAAATTTATTTTTATTGTTTTCAGAGAGGAAGGGAGATAAACATCAATGATGGGAGATAATCATTGATTGGGTGCCTCCTGCACACCCCACAATGGGATCAAGCCAGCAACCCAGGCATGTGCCCTTGACCAGAATAGAACCTGGGACCCTTCAGTCCGCAGGCTGACACTCTATCCACTGAGCCAAATTGGCTAGGGCATAGAACCATAGTTTTTAATAATAGTTTTAAAGTCTCAAAACTTCTGTGAAAATTGGCTGTCCATTTATAATTAAAAAAAAAACAAAAACACACCTAACCCTCAGGTGTCAATACAAACCAGTATTGCATCATCCTGTGCACCTGAAGGTTGCTGGTTTCAGTCCTGGTAAGGGCACATGCCCGTGTTGCAGGCTCAAAGCCCAGGAGGAGGCATGCAAGAGGCAACTGATCTGTTTCTCTCCCTCTCTAAAAATCAATTTAAAAAAATCTCACACACACACACACAACTTAGCAGTGAAATATAATTGGTAATCTGGCTTATATATGCTTTATTTCTAGTAAACACATATCTTGTCCATTATATTAATCACTAAGCTCTTTGTTGGAAAATACTGCTTTTATTTTTATTTTAATACTTTTAACATTTTTTTCATTGCAATTAGACAAAAATAAAAAAAATTATTTATAGTTGACAGGATGTATTTTATTTTTATAGTCTATAAACTAGTGGATAGTATTTTAATAATCAGGTATATTAAATTTCAAAGTTTAACATTTAGCAAAACTTGCTTCACAAATTCACTTTTAGAATGACAGGAAATATGTACAACTTTAGAGTCCATATTTAGACAAATGCCCTTTTTCCTTCCTCAAAATAAAAGCTTTAAAAAGTGTAGTATAGTATAAAAGTTTCAAATATGAAGGCACTGCATAACTCTGAATCATATGGCTGATGTCTTGTTAACAGCAAGACCAACGAGAATATTCTCACTTAAATTAATGGAGCATAAGAAACTTTTGAGGAAGGACCTAACTCTTATCAAAAAGAACCTTTTTGGCCCATTTAATGAATTCCTTTCCAAGACTGCTTTTAATAAAACTTACCTGGAAAAACTATTAAGAATATGTCCATCTTATTCTGCATGAGTGTTGGGGATAATGGAAAGAGTACTACGTGTGTAAAGATACATTCATTTCCAAAATAGTAACTTACCTGTTATGGTAAAGCTAAATACACTGCCCCAAATCCGGTTTTTAAAAAAAATGCTACCAACAGATGATCTATGAAAGAATTTTAAAGAGTTGTTTATAGTATTATAATCTAATGAACAGATCTAAGTCATTATATTCTTCTGTTCTTAAACTGAGGGAGTTTGTATCTGCTTTCGACATGTTGATTGCATTGGGTAATGATGTGTATGACTCAGTAAGTGTTCTGATGTTCTAAACTCTCATAAAAACCAAACACATAGCCAGAAAACTTTATAAAGAATTAACTACACTTGTTATTATCTTGAATGCTATCTAACATTACGTGAACTACAATAATAGCCATAGGAGGCTTCAAGATGGCCTGGAAATTCAGATTCTAAAGTTCTTGATAGCATATAATTGACTTCAAATCCCTTCTTTAAGGACAAGACAAAAAATAATGGAAATTCACCCCTTAAATTAAACCAAACTATGTTATTACAGGAAGAAACATTTTAGTTGAAGTGAACTTTGTTCTTTTGAAGGTCAGTAAAATAGTGGTCCAAAGATTATTGTCCAAGAGGCTAAGACATCTTTACAACCTGGTCCAATAATTCATATTTCTTTATAAGTGCTTTAATTACATTTAGAGGAAAAAAAATATATGATTTAATCAGATTAGTTTCAGAACAAATAAAATAACACATTAGAGAAAAAATTACTTAAAAATAGTTGTATTTATATTCCACAATTTGCTCAAATACTGGTTTTCTTATAAACTTTCTACAGGATGGTTTTTAAACAAATTCTTCACATTGTGTCTTAGTGGGTATGACTTACAGAATTTCAGGGAAATAGTTCTGTGTTTTAATAGCTTAATTTGTACTAAAGAGATGGGAGGTGGTCACATGCAGTCCATGTGGGATTCTAACATAACATTTAGTGAGTTTTCTGACGTGGACCATCCCTTTGATGCTGAAGGTAATGCATCTGTCGAAAGAAGTGACTGTAGATTTGGATTACTGCTCTCTGCATCTTCCAGTTTTTCTGTGTTATCTTCCCAGTTAATGTGGAATCTTGTGACTCTGGGATTAGATGCCAAAATGTTCCTTTGAAGCTGTAGGAAGAAAACATAAAATTGGTAAACATGAAAGTTAGATCACTGTACACAAACAGGAGCTTGATAGAGTGTTTCTTTATATTAATACTCCACAAGGGCTAAGTTCATATACATACAAATGTATACGCCAAAGCACCTAAAACATAACTAATAAAGAACTAGGGCTGCTGCAAAGAAATTATTTAGCCTAATGAGAATAAGAACTCATGCTATCCAAGAAAATACCCAAGTCCTCAATACTTTTGTTTTTAAAAGGTGAACATTTCAAAGGATGCTATCTAGAGAGATATGGTGTCTCTTTAGTAATATTTTAAGGAAAATGAAAACTTCCTTCAAATATAGCCTCTTGTTATTAGTGGCTTCCTACCTTTTAATTATTATGGCTCATTCTTAAAAATAGTATTCTAGCCCTGGCTGGTATGGCTCAGTTGGTTGGTGCACTGTTTCATACACTGAAAGATTGTGGATTCGATTCCCAGTTAGGGCACAATCCTAGGATGCAGGTTCAGTCCCTGATTGGGGTGTGTATAGGAGAGAGCCAATTGATGTTTCTCTCTCACGTTTCTTTCTCTTTCCCTCCATCTTCCTCTCCCTCTCTCCCATCTTCTCTCTAAAGTCAATGAACATATCCTTGGATGAGGATTAAAAACAAACATTCTAATTTCCTCTTTTTTTTCTATACAAGGTGCCGTGCCATACAGGTAACTAATATATTAGATCAATGGAAGGTCCTACACCAGGATAAAAAAACAACATTCTAGCCTTATTACTTTCAACTCTTTTGTAAATTTTCTTACATGATAGTGTTGTATTCAACCTAAAAAACCACCAGTTAACTTCTCACTCAGAAGCTAAGCCGTTTCTACCACTAAAAATAGTTAATACCTTTAGTTTAAACTTGTAAGAGTAACAGATAAAACAAGGCATATAGATGTTCTGAGAAAAGTGTTCATATGAAAAACATAAAACTTCCCCCTACAATTTTGAGAAGAGTTATAGATAAAACTATTATTGAATAATCAGCACGACAAACATGAATTTGAATCTCCTAAGGATTAAAATGAACAGAATTATGATGTACGGGAAATGCCATACAGAAAGCCATAAACAAAAGTCTGTTTTTTACATGAGGCATTTCCAATTCTGAAACCAGAGACTCAAGGTGCCTGACCAACAGTACTTAAGACTCATCGGAGAGAGAGTCTGAGAGCATCCATGGCAATGGAACCATAATTACTTTTCCTGCTTGGCACAAAGACCTCAAATTTACCACTTTCATGGTACACTGTGAAATGGCAATTGCGTAAAAAACTGTAAAAAGGAACAGTCAGAACATTACCTTAGAGAAGTCTGGTTTTACTGGCGGATTTTCCCTTAATTCTGTCTCAGTATATTCATTATTTACATAATAGCCAACTCTAATAAATTCTTGACCTCGATAGGTGCATGTGATTAGCACAACTGTTACACCTACGGCATCTGCATCTGGAATGAGTCCTGGATTAGGTGCATCAGCCTAGAATAATTTTAAAAGAAACACATATCACAAAAGGCTGTTAACTGCAAGGAAGACTGGAATTTTGGTTACCTTGAACACCATCAGTTAAGAACATCATATTGGGGAAGACAAATGCTCAGTTTTGAGACTGACGTATAGCCAGGAAATAAAGTTCACAGTATACCCAAGTACCCTGGGTGCTTGAAAACATCACTTCTAAATTAAATCTGGCTAGAGCATGTTGTCGTTTATGAGGTTTATGCAATATTCAATTATAAGACCTTTCATAAAATATAATAGTTTTATTTATTGCAACCTTTTCCATTCATAATTTTCAGACCTAAATTAGCCTATCATTTGCACTGTTGCCAGCGTTAATTACCTAAGCTCAGTTCTAGTCCTATTCCTTCACCAGGTTTTAACACTTCAAATGATTACCCCATTTCAAAGATAAAAATCTCAGTCAGCTTCCCAATCTGTCTCCACACCACATCTCCATTCACACTCCCTTCACCCCCACACCTCTTACTCTTGTTCTGGAATCACATAGGTTCCTTAAAATACAGTGATCTTTCATGCCTCTGCCTTGCATACACTGTCCCTTTGGCCTGACATGTTCTTGCCTAATAGCCTGAAAAATACATCATTTAAACTTTGCATCAGATGTATTCTTCGTAGTTCAAAAGTCAGAATTAATAGCAATCTTTTTTATGCACTCGTATTACTTGACATAAATCCTCTACTAACAATGTCTAACAACCCAAATATATTTACCCTTCAATCTTGCCTATCATTCTAAGTTTTATCTTGGGCAGGAGTCCCATCCAGTTTATCTTCTATAATAATAAAAGCATAATATGCTAATTAGACCAGATGTCCTTCTGGACGTCCTTCTGGACATCCTTCCAGATGAAGTCGGGGCTGAGGGAAGCTGGTGCCAGCATCCAGGGGAAGGAAGGCCTACTCTTGCACAAATTTCACACATCGGGCTTCTAGTCTTTATATATAATCTCATGTCTGGCACAGCTCTGAGCACACAATGTGTACTTAGTATTTTGAAATTCAGAGTTCCTGCCCTGAAGTGTTTTTTTGTTTGTTTGTTTGTTTGATCTCTTTTGGAGACTCCAGAACGGGGACAGAGAGGTCTGTCCTGAGAATATGTAGTTTATTTTAGAAATCCTTAGCCTCCCTCCATGGAGGTGCTAGGTTATTTGCAGGATCCCCAAAGAGTTCCCCATGTACCTCGAAGTGGGTAGAGATAACATAGGTAGGTTAGTAGTGCGATGGGGACTTCTCCACCAAGTGTTTCCCGTCCCTTCAGCCAAATTGGTTCTAGGCATATTTGGGTTTTAAAATTGGTTTGCCAAAGGATTCAGTTTGGGCAAATTCAAGTAGAAAAGCCTGTAAACCTCTTGGTTCATTTAGGATGGAGAAGTCATAGGATAGAGAAGTGAGAGGCAAAATAGGACAGATCAGGAGAATATTATACTATGGCAGTTTGTTTGAAGCACAAAACAAAAACTATTTTGATCCCTTTCTGCTGATAATGGTACATTTTGTAAAACTTATGGGCTGAACATATGATCTAAATCACATGTGCTTCCTCTGTTGCTTTTTGGCAATGTGCACTGTTACCAAGGTAAAACCAGTGGAAAACCACTAGAAGCAAATATTTTTGAATAATTTTTTTCTCCAGCATTCTAAGCCAAAAGCTTAGGAATGTTCCTAACAACATAAATACACAGGATGTATTTCTAAGGATTTGTTTAATAAATAAGGGATTTATTTAAAAGTTTTTATAGTGGCATAAAAAGGTACATATATCATTCACTGCATCTCAAACTAAGTTTCTTACTACATTATGAATTAGCATCATAAAGTACAGATTCTCCAGGTTTGTGGGTTTATATAACAATTTCAAGAAGCTAAGAGAGTAAAATTTTAGTTCTAAACAGAAATACAGGGCACTATTTGTCAGTGATTGACTTGACTGCTTTATTCCTCGTTTAATCCTCAAAACATTCTTATGAGGTGGGATATTTGCCACATGTTATAGGTGACTAAGGGAGGTTAGGGAGCCTGTCTGAGGTCATATGTGCATAATAAGTGCTGAAGCAGGGTTTGAACCAGATCTATCACTGCATTGCTTCCCTTACACATGCATTCTCTGGTACCCACGTCTTTTGCCAAGGTTATGCACTCACGCAATTTGGGTTAACAGCACTTTAATATATTTGAGCTTTTAAACCATTTGTTTAGGTGCAGTAAATTATTTGTTGCTTTTTTTTAAAATATGTTTTATTGATTTTTTTTACAGAGAGGAAGAGAGAGTTAGAAACATCAATGAGAGAGAATCATCGACCAGCTGCCTCTTGCACACTCCCTACTGGGGATGTGCCCACAACCCAGGTACATGCCCTTGACCGGAATCAAACCCGGGACCTTTCAGTCTGCAGACCGACGCTCTACCACTGAGCCAAACCGGTTTTGGCTATTTGTTGCTTTTTAATAAAAGCACTCAGGCTAGGAGATCAAGAATCTGAATTCCATTTAGGAGAGGGGAGGGAAAGATAGCAGCTCTAAAGATGCCGTAGGTTTGAGTTAGTCTTGACCCATATCTCATGGGATTGATTATCTGAGCAACAGTATTCATTTAAATTGGTTTCATCTGTGAAGTGAGAAATGGGAGTCAGCGATAGGAAGAGTTCATTTTTTCTCTAGATGAAGTCTCTTCTGTGGCTTCTACTGAACTGATGGGACTCTTGTAGAAATACTTGCAATAAATTTAATAGTTTTGTAAAAACCTCTGACTAGTTACTCTTTCAACTATTATAAGTATCTCTGTAATAAGCAGGGATAATTGGAAAGTGACTGAATAGTTTTACACAATTTAGTATGGATTAAAAGAAATAACTTTTGAATATAGAAGACAATGCTGCAATCTTGGCACAGATCTAAATACTGTCAGTAATATCTGAGAACATCATTTATATCAGAATTTCCCCTCAGTCAGTAAACAGAGCAGGAGCTTTATAACAGTAACCCTTTTTAAAATGTGTAGAATAGATACGTTAGTAAACTGGACTTCAATTCCAATAACCCAAAATCACACTTATCTCCTTCTACTAATAAACCTGTTAACCTAGCTTAATTCCTAATTATGCTGACATCAAGTTGTTGCTTTTTTAATATTATCATCACTCCTAGTGGCTGAAACCATAAAGCTGCATATGATTGACTACACCAATCAGTAGTGTGCATCTTTAACCTCTTTTTGAGGCTGCTGGACAGCACCCCCTTGAAAGTCTGAGAAGTAGATAAAAAGCGAATGCAGCAGCAGCAGAGTGACTTAACCCACAAGGAAAGTGATAAGAGCCACCTGATGCAGTCTGTTAAGAAACATATTTGGCATACATATTAACCAAGAATGATCTTACCTGGAATACAAACATATGCCTTCCCGCAGGAACAGGGCCCACTAAAACAGAGTCTAAAACTTGATCGTATTCTTCACTTTCTGCAGAGCCCACATAGATAATTTTCCATTCCAGGTCTAGGGTTAAAACCAAAACGTTATTTCATATTCAGTGAATATATTACAATATGACATCAAAAACCCTTTTAATGTCCACTTAGCCATTTACTGGCTGCAGGATGGCACTAAATGGCTCCTTAAGAAATCCTTACATTTTATACAAGTTTCTCAAAATGCTCTTTTGTGAAATATTAGAATCTGGGCAGGTCTCCTCACACAGTATGGCCCAAAACTTTGGAAATGCTTCAGCCTTGCCTTGAGGATTCAGAAAGCACAGTGGCAGAAGGAAGTGTTCTGAGACATCCTTCAGCAAAACCCAGTAACATTAGTCCAGCATTTCCCAAATGTACTGGCTATGGAACCCGCCCCATTCAAGTCATATTTTAACTTACTAACCACACTTTGGAAGGACTGCCCCCTACTTTGTTGCCCAGATCTCCAAAATGGAAAAATCATTAGCCAACTTCCCTGTGGCTCAGAGGGGGCTTCAGCTCATAACTGTTTAAGGTCCAGAGTCAGGCTCTTCTTCAATGCACCCCTTCTTGTCATACATTCTTTAAACTGGGAAGGAGAAACCAAGGATCCTCTTGCCACTTGATACACTTGGTGGGAAAAGGCACAAGGAAGAACAAGACACACCGAAGTGCAACTCTGGCATTCTGTGAAATTCAACCATTCAGATTTTATTGAACACCCTTTATGGGTGCTCTGTGAGACCCAGAGATTGAGTAAAAAGATGGTTCTTTTGAAGGAGCATCCTTTAGGGTCAGGGGAGGGGAGAGAAACCCAACAAATACAAACCACCTGAGACCTCCTGGACCTCAGGTGGTCAGCAGTGTGAACTGCCTCTTGGACTCACTGCTCTCAGACCACACCAGCCCCCCCAGAGGGGTGTTTCCGGGTTACTTGTAGAGAATCTGGTTAGTGTCACCATGAGTTGCCATTTTTGTGTAGCTATTTCCATTCCCTAAATAGACACCAGTATAGTATAGGTACTACTTATTCATACAGTATTTATAAACTACAATTTATTTAACTAAATGCTCCTTTAGGCTTACTTTCTCTTACGAAGTCCCTAGTCATTTTCTGAGGACCCAATATGTCATTCATGGCTGTGTCCCAGGCTAGACCACTTTATTTCCAGCTTCTAGCACATTTTCACATGCAGAGTCCTGCATCTGACACCTCAACAGACCATCTATTTGTTAATGAAGATTAACTGAGGAAACAAAAAATATGACTATCTAATCAGAAGAAACAACAAATACAAAGGCCTAGAGAGAGGTAGGAGCATGCTTGGCAAAAAAAAAAAAAAAAAAAAAAAAAAAAAAAGAGACTGCAGAGGCAGGACCAGAATGAGCAAAGAGGAAAATTACCATGACATTGGGGGTGAGAGGCATGGTGAGATTGTGTAAAGGCTAGATCATTAAGACTTGGCTTTTACAGTAAGAGACATGGGAAGCCATTGGAGGGTTTTGATTAGAGGAGTGGTTATCATGGGGGTGAGAAGCAGTTGTGTTCTTGATAAATCTTGAAGATAGAGGCAGCAAGACTGTGTGTGTGTGTGTGTGTGTTGGCACAAGCGCACTTCTACAAGTGCATGCATAGGAGATAGGTGAGGGAATCAATCAGGCATTGGTTTGACTTGTTCAGTTTGAGATGTCTACTACGTATCTAAATGGAAATAATGAATAGATCTGGTAAAAGTTTGGAAATTGTAAATAGGTAGGATTCCTAGAGAGTGAGCCTTAGGACTGTCCAAAAATGTCATGGAGATGAGACAGACTCAATGAAATAGTACGTTACAAAATTAGTGGCCAATAAGGTAGGTAACCCAAAAACCAAGCAGCAGGACTGTTTTAAGGGTGTGAATCTATTAAACTAGACACATTATGTCCCGACTAGGAACTGTCAAGTGGAAATTTGCATATTGTGTTCATTTCATATGTATTTGTGCCTCAAAATATAGTAGAGCCTCCTAATTTGTATAAATTGGTATTTTGGTCTGACAGGAACATAGTCATGATTTATAAACCTTTTTATAAAACACTACTATGTGCTGGGCATTGGTCTGGCCACCTCACACCTGTTGTTTAAACTTCAATAGTATTATCATATGAATTTAATTATACCTAATTATGCAAACAAGGAAGTTGAGGCTCTGAGAGGCCAAGTGATCTACCTAGATTCATAGTTAGTAAATAGAAGAATCAGAATCAAAGTTATGTCTCTGCTCATTCCAAAAATTCAACTAGAAGATAAATTCTTCCCTTTCTAGCCATGGGGAAATAATCTAGGCTGTAACTCAGGGAACACAAATGCCTTAATTTTTATGTTTATGGGATGCTTGCTGTAACCACTGAGTTTGAAATGCTCACTACTAATTTCTAAATTAGCATCAATTGATTTATTCTTACAATTTTTTTAAATTTAGATTTTATTCCCCTCTTCCTATATTGGAAGCAGGGAAAGATTCAGGTGCTTTGCACAAGTTATTAGTTGAAGGAGTTCACACAGTTATTTTAAAAGTTAGCTGATTGTCCCAGACAGCAAGTATCTATTTGTGTTGGGAGTGAGGGATTCACCAAGGGAATTTTCAACTAATTGCAGTACTTGGCAAGTCCTGTTGCCTAGAGGAAAGGATGTATAGTCTTTGGAAAATGTGAAAATATGAAAATATGAAGCACTGTGCTTGACTCTGGTACATTGTAAGTATTCAATTAACATGTAGTCATTATCAGAAACAACTAAATTATTTTAAGCAAATACTGCTCTGCACTGCAGGGGTGGCTCAGTGGTTGAGCATCAACCCATGATCCAGGAGGTCCCGGCTCCATTCCGTCAGGGCACATGCTGGGGTTATGGGCTCCATCCCCAGTAGAGGGCATGAAGGAGGCAGCCAGTCTCTCTCATCATTGATGTTTCTCTATCTTTCTCTCCCTTTCTCTCTCTGAAATCAAGGAAAAAATATATATGAATGAATACATACATAGAAGTACTCCTTAAGGTTTTTTCTGAAACAAAGCTTTTAAAGGGGGGGAAAAAATGAGGTGTTTATTGACAAGTATCAAAATGGTAGCCAATCTCTGGCTTGGAATTTGAGACAGAATTATAAAGTGAAAAAAATTTCTTAAATAAAGAATTGCAATAGTATAAAAGGATGGAACCTTTAAGGAGCCTTTGCCAAGTAAATTGTTTCCTTAATTCACACAACCTCTAGGTGGAATACACAAGCATGGCACCTTTTTGAAAGATTCCTTTGCAGTTTTGGTATGACTCAGCTTGAACTCTTTAAAAAAACAAAACTAAATAAATGCCGAGTCTAGGGACCATGGGAAGTGAAGTATATAAATGGAAGGTGTACTGTTAACATTAGTAATGTAAAAATTCTGAAGTGATTTAACTGAATAGATTTCAGTAAAAAATAGAACACAGTCCCATCTCCATGAATGGCAGGCTTCAATCATCCAATGTCAAGGCCCTGTAACAACATCCTTAGTCATCTGTCTTCCTTGTTCAGAACTGGCTCCTAAAATGAAAGTTATCACTTGAGAAATACCTGTAATCTGTAGAACTTCTAATGACTAAAACACTATAGCATAAGTTGGAATGGACAGATCAATGGTTTCATTACATTCACCCATTTTTATATGTAATTGGCAATAAAATGGAAAAAATTAGACTTGAATATTAAAAAAATAGGGCTGGTAGCTGAAATGTTTGTAGTATTACTATGGGAAAAGTACTCAAAATGATTTCAAAATAGTAAGGAAATCGCCCTTTAATTTTATTATCAATGGCCTACCGGTAATTAGAAATTTAACGAATTTCAAAATGTGCACATGTTATACATGTGCATATATGCTTTATAAATATCTTTAAACTGTTTGGAAGAGCACAAATTAAAGTGTTAAATATGGTTACTTATAGGAATGAAATGGGGAAGGCACTGAGTACAGAGAACTATTATACTTTGTATGATTTTTTTAAGTTTATTACAATGAGTGCGTATTTTTATAATTTAAAAAATTAACACCCTAAAATTCATTTTATAGATTAAAAACTAATTTAAGGTGAAGTGCTTTATATGCTTTGACTAGCACAATAATATTAAATGCACTTTGTTAAATAGATTTGTAAATTCAAAGATGTGTGTCGTCCTCTTTAATTTTTTAAGTTACCATTGATGAAGTTAAATTTTTTTTCTCCTCTTCCTGAAATTTTTAAAATAAAGCGCTGGAGTATTTTAATAAAATCCCAATGATAAAAAACCTTGACAAGTTTCAGTTTTCTAAGTAATTATTGCTGCACATACTAAGAATATTTATCTTTTTTTAAAATTACCTTATCACTTTATTACTTAGAAGAAACGGTCAAAATTAGTGCGTTGCCATTACGACTTTACCTTTTACTTCCTAGCCCACTTTAGCGTTTTGAGTTCAGGGTGTTTGGATATCGTGTTATTTTAATTAGATTTCAACACTATTTTAGAATTGAATCTCTCAGTCTCCTTAGAGGCCAGGAGTGGTTAAGTCCTGGCCATTATTTAAGTGTTTTGCTTATTTCTGCTCTTGGGTGGAGTGTAACTTCATAGCTCTGCCCTGTCTTCCTTCCGGGGAGGTTTCGGTCGTTGGGAAAAGGATTCACGCGGGTCGGGGCGAGCGGAGCATCCGGGCATCCCGGGCCGCTGGGCATCCGGGCGCCGGGCATCCCGGGCGGCGGCGGTGCGGCCGGAGCCGCGGCCGGAGCGCGGAGCCTGCGCCCGCCGCCCCGCCGGTCGGCGGAGGGGCGGGAAGTCCGCGAGGACGGCCCGCTCCTCCCCACGCGGCGGCACGGCCCGGAGCGGCCCCGCTCGGCGCGGGTAACATGGCTCCGCCGCGAACTCGCCGGCGCGGCCGCGCGCCCTCCCTGCCCGGCCTCCCGTCGGGGCCGCGGAGGCCGTTCGCGCCGCGGGGCCGGGCGGCGGGACCCCGGCCGGCGCCGCGGGCGCGAGTGCGGGTCTCGCGAGTCGCCGCCGCCAGACAAAGCTGACAACATGGCTCCCTCCGCCGCCGCACAAGTTCCCGGCAAGTTGAGCGGCGGCGGGCGCCCGGCCCCGCGAACGCCTCCCGCGCCCGGGCCGCCGCCGTCCATCAACTTCAAGTTTCCCTCCGGCGCCGCGCCCGCCGCCCCGAGGCCGGGCCCGGGAACTCCGCCGCCCGCGGCGCCGCGGGCGGGCGGCGCACTCACCCTCCGACAGGTCCTCGATGCACTCGAAGGTGATCTCGAACTGGAAGGGGTTGTAGAAGGGCGACGGGTTGTCCAGCACCACTACATTGTTCACCTGAACCTTTGCCATATTTCGGAAGCGGCACAAACAATGGGGCGGGCTCGTCGCGGCGCCGTCCGGCCCGGCCCAGCGCGGCCGCCCGCAGAGCGCAGACCCCGCCGGCGCCGGCCCCGCGTCCTGCGGCGGCGACTTGGGAAACTTTCCGCCTTTTTATTTGCACGGAGCGCTCACTCCCCGGCTCGCGCAGCGCTCCCACTCCGCTCAACTACAGCCCATTCTGCCCCGGCCGCCGGCAGCGCGGCCCGCGATTGGCTGGCCCGGGCGCCGGCCCTCCTCCTCCAGCGAGGCCTCCGCGGCGGGCAAGAGGGGCGCCCGCGCCCGGAACGGACGCGGCAACGTTCACTGCGGCTCCACCTGCTGGCGCGGCCCAGGACAAAGGCGGAGAACAAAGTGAGCGGCGTACGGGCTGGGAGGCCCGCGCGGAGGCCGCCGCCGCAGCCGCCGGCGGGGGGCGGGCCAGCGCAGGCCCCGCCCCCGGCCCGGCGGCTCCCGCGCCGCGCGGCGGGCGTGGCCGCGGCGGGTCGGGTCGCGGGTCGGAAGGGGCGTGGCCACCGTGGAGGCGGGGGGCGTGGCCACCGCGGAGGAGGTGTGCTCCTCGCGGCCGCCTCTGCGGCGGGAGGGCGCGATATGGATTCGGGGCGACGCCCGCCCCTCGGGTCTGCTCCGTGGTGTTTCTTTTTTTCCCCTCCCCTTTTTACGTTAGTCCAATGGCTGTGCCGGGTCTGCTTAGTTTAGCAGATGGGACTCGGTTGTATGCACCAGAGTATTTAGCTGCCTCTGTATTGGCCAGTATTTGCAGTAGAGTGGAGAATGGGTTGCAGTGGAAATAAATCATATTTTATAGACCGACATGCCAGCTCAAGAGGAGCAAAGCCATTTTGGAAATGTAGTTCTTAGCCAATATCTGCGTTTGGGCACGACAGGGCTGTTAGTTAAGCAGATACAAAATGTAGGGCGAGGAAGCACATTTGCACACACTCTCGGCTTGGAAAATCTAAGTAGGTAGTATTCGGGCTGCACCTCGGTCTAGAACAAGAAAAAGTCCTAGAATAAGAAAAAGATTATTATTTTTTTTTTATTGGAGATGTGATGAGTTACACCTCATGTTTCTGCCGTTTGATGGGCATAACTGGAACGTAAATGGAGAGAGCACGGAAGTAAGGATACCGGAAGGCAACAAATATAAGGGAAAAGGCCAGTAGAGAACACAAAGGGATATCAAGTGTGACTTTTCAAAAAATGTATGGCCTTAACTGGCAGTAAATAAAGTGACACCGCACACGAGTTCCAAGGAGCCTTTGCTTGATTCATGGACATTCAATGTGGATTCATTTAGGCTGCTTAACTCCGATTGTTGGAAAAGGGAGAACTTTTAACACATTTATGAGGTCTTTGAGCTGTTTCTGTTTACTAAATAAGAGTGGTATAAAGTTTAGGTTATTGCTTGCTTTTTTTTCTAAACCATTATTTTTTCCTTAAGAGTTATGAATGAAACTTGGCTAATTAAATTCAGAGAGAAAAATTAATTTTTTTTTGTTAGGGGGGTAAGGTGACACTAGTTTTCTTTAATTATTCTTTGCGGGGAAGGGATGCCACATTTCCACTCAATTAAGAGAAACATTTTTATCAACACAGAAGTCTTTTTTATTTCCCCCCCACTTATCATGCCATGAATTCATAGGGAATGGGTTCCAGCAGCGCAGGCTCCTTTCCATTGGTTCTCACAAAGGTGCTTCTCTGGGTGGAGCAGGCTAAGGCTTCCATTGAATTCAGGTACCTTTCTCTTTGTCTTCCTTCTTTTTCTGATAATTTTTCTTCACACATCTCAGCTCTCAGAGTGCTTAATATGCCCAATATGTACATTAATTCTCTTGACAAGAATCTTGCCCTTAACTTGCTTGTTCACAACAATTCCCACTGCATGCTGGTTGATCTTGTCCACTCCTCCAGCTCTGCCATGGTAACTTTGTGGGGCATTCCTTTTTGAGCAGTGCCATTCTTTTGGAGCCCACAGTATCACCTTTCTTGTGGATTCGCATGTATGTGGCCAAAGGAACACTCCATGTTTCCTAAAAGGCCTGGCGCATCTAGCCGATGCCTCTCCTCTTTCCCTTCGTGTTAGTCGTTTTGGCCAATTACTAGAAGATGGCGGTTCCGGCCAAAATCAAGAAAATTAATTCTTAAGTATCATCTGTGCTGGAATAATTTTCTCTCAGCATAGTGCTCAGAATTTTGAGTTGTTATTCTTTGGACATTGTTCATACTTAAATAGGTTGCTTTGATGAAACTTCTTCATGTGATGGTCTTTTTAAAAATGTTTTTATTGATTTCCGAAAAGAAAGAAGAGGGAGAGAAAGAAACATCAATGATGAGAGAGAATCATTGATCAGCTGTCTCCTGCATGCCCCCTCCCTCCCCACTGGGGATTGAGCCCACAACCTGGGCATGTGCCCTTGACTGGAATCGAACCTGGGACCCTTCAGTCTGCAGGCCGACACTCTCTCCACTGAGCTAAACCAGCTAGGGCCTGATGGTCTTTTGAAAGTTAATATTGGACAGCTAATACCAGGACTTCCCACATTTAGGAAAGCTACTTAGAGTGGGGGTCCTATTTTATTGTCAATGGATTAAGTAATAAAATAGGACCTACCTAAAAAATGGTTTCCTCAAGCCCAATCGTTTGTGTGCATTAAGTATGAGTCATACTGTGGTGATATGGTATGTATGTACGTATAGATAACATTTTGATCCTGGAATGGTAGGAGGGTAAGGTGTTATCATCCCCATATAACAAAGGAGGACAGTGGTGTTCAGAAACCTGTTCCTTTAATTGCTGACCGAGTGCTTCTCTGCGTTTTGTCCACTGTGTCAGATAATACTTAAAGTGGGCTTTATGTGTAGAAAAAGCAATTGGTATAATTTCCTGGAAGAACCCACAGGCTGGCAGACCCTGTGGTAAGGACTTGATTAATGACCTCTTGAGGAACAAAGCTCCATGAATGAAGTTGGCCCAGGTGTATACTGGGAGTGAGAGGAGGCCCAAGACGAGGCAAAGCTGTGGGAATCTCCCATGAGACACTGCAGGTGTAAAGCCTCCAATTGCAGAAGGGCTGACTGGGGGGAAGGGAGAGAGGGTGGAATGAATCCTGGAATGCATCTTCATACTTTATGGTTTCCATATTTCTTATAGAATGTGTGACCCCTTCCTCCAGTTTTTGCTCCCCCTCACTAATAACAGTTTCACTGTTTTGTATTGATCACTACCTACCATTAGGTTACAATTTTGATGAAGATATAAGCTGTGTCTGAGCCCTTATCCATAGCTGGACTATCCTATTATTAAACACCCTTTGGATAGCTATCAGTGAGATCAGTGTCCTTTCTGAAGCACCATAATTATGTTTGCTGTTGACAGTTTGTTGATGTTAATATCATTCTGACCAGAAGAATATTAATGCAAATGCTTAGTAATTATTTTGTTTCATGTGTGTAGTTTTTTACCCTGTTTTTAGTCCTCTTACATGAATTCAGCTCCTTCTAAACTTGTTTTCCTCCTGACCTCACTCTCCATATATAATACATCTCATGTTTTACATTCCATTCTTCTCTCTAACTGTCCACCTCTCCCATTCATCAGATAATCAGGAGAAATGTGCTCATAAGTAGAGAGAGGATTCAAATCTTTAAAACATCTCTTGGCTAGACTACTGCTTGCACAAAGCCACTGCTAAACACAGCAGCTTTTTTAGTTGGTTACTATAGAGACAAATGGCACTAAATGGAGATATGCTTGACTGAAGTTAGGCAAGTAAGCTTTGTGAGATTGGATGCCTAAAAAAGGCCCAAACTAGAGAGGACAGGAAGGAGAAAGGTTTCTCAAATGAGCTTATAGGTAATTAATTGGTGGATTTAGGTTGGTAATTTTGTGCCTGCTTAAGTCTTGAATCCAGCATAAAAGAATCTACCCCCAAGTACCTCTATTATGACTACATAGTGACTTTTCTTTTTTTAATAACCGCTATGCTACCATGAACATTTGTGTACAAATTTCTGTTGGAGGCAGGGCGCATATGTTTTCATTTTTCTGGGTCTTAAGAGTGGAATTGCTGGATCCATATGGTAACTCCTTACGAGGAATTAGCAGGCTATTTTCCAAAGTGGCTGCACTTATATCCCCACCAGTGATGAATGAGCGCTCCAATATCGTCACATCCCTCCCAACCCTTGTTATTAGTTTTGTTTTGTTTTTATTATAGACATTGGTGATGTGTGAAATAGTGTTTCATTGTGGCTTTGATTTACATTTCCCTGAGGGCTAAAAATGTTTGAGTGGTTTTCATTTACTTATTGACCATTTGTATATTTTCTGTGGAGAAATGTCTATTTGGATCCTTGGCCTTTTAAAAAATTGGGTAATTTGTTTTTTAATTGAGCTGTAAGAGTTCTTTATTCCAAATACAAGTCTTTCATCAGAGACATATTGATCAGGTTTGGGAAAATTTTCTCTCCTTATGTGGATTATCTTTTCATTTTCTTGAGGGTGTCTGTTGCAGCTCTAGGCTTTTAATTTAATGAGGTCCAATTTAGTTTGTCTTTTTTTGCTTGTGCTTTTGGTGTCATTTCTCAAAAACATTGCCTAATCAAGGGCCATGAAGATTTATATTTGTGTTTTCTTCTAAGTTTTATACCTTTAGCACCTTACATTTAAGTTTGATCTACTTTGAATTACTTTTTGTATATGGTGTCAAGTAGGGGTCCAAATTCCTATTTTTGTATGTGGATGTTCAATTTCCCAGTAGCATCTTTTGAAAAAATTTTTCTTTCCTCAATGAATTATCTTAGAATCCTTATCAAACATGAATTAATCATAAATGTGTGGGTTCATTTCTGCAAAATTAATTTTTTTTGTTGATCTATATCTTATGCCATTACCACACTGTATTGATTATTGTCACTGTAGTCAGGAAATTTGAGGCCTCCAACTCCCCCCCCCCCCCCCCCCCAATATTATATCTTTTTGGGATTCCTTGAATTCC